AAAAAGGGAGGTAGGAGAACACCACAGCACCATTGCAGGGGCTCAGGTAGGCGGTCTCAGGGAAGGAGGGGGCAGGCCTGGGGCCCAAGGCTACCAGTGGGTAAGGCAAGGATCTGTGTGACCCCAGGCAGGACCAGATTGGGGTGTGGCGGGGAGTGCACTAGGACCCTAGGCCCAAGTAACAGGTTTTCCAAGGGACACAGGGGGCCAAGGAGACTTTGTTCTGGTCCTGTCCCTCAGAGGCAGGGCTAGGGCAATGGAAGACCCTCTCTCTTGCCCTGGGAAATCATGGGAGTGATGCTGGGCCTAGACCTGGAGAGGGTATGTCACAGGCTGGACAGGGCAGACGTGTGGGTGTCAACCTCGATTCTATACCTTCTCTGGGCCTGAAGCCTATCTCTTTAGTGGGGTGAAAATGTGACTCTTGCCCTGACCCCAGGGAACTGTGAGACTTGGGCAGGAGCCTAGAGGTCATTCATGCTTTTTAAATTTTATTTGAGAATCGGGGTCTCACTTTGCCAACCAGGCTGGAGTGCAGTGGCATCATCACAGCTCACTGCAGCCCCAAACTCTAACTCCTGGGCTCAAGCAATCCTCCCACCTCAGCCTCCTAAATAACTGGGACTATAGGCACGTGGGACTAAGGACTATAGGGCTAAAGGCAGCTGGGACTATAGGACTATCGGACTAAAATCACCCAGACTGGTTATTTTTTAATTTCGCCCTTGTTGCCCAGGCTGGAGTGCGATGGTGTGATCTCAGCTAACTGCAACCTCCATCTCCCGGGGTCAAGCGATTCTCCTGCCTCAGCCTGCCACGTAGCTGGGATTTCAGGCATGTGCCACCACACCCAGGTAATTTTGTATTTTTAGTAGAGATGGGGTTTCTCCATGTTGGTCAGGCTGGTTTCTAATTCCCAACCTCAGGTGATTTGCCCACCTCGGCCTCCCAAAGTGCTGGGATTACAGACATGAGCCACCGCTCCCAGCCCACCCTGCCTTTTGAGTAACAGCCACAGTTGCTGCAAACATGGGAAGGCACGGGGCAGGTGGGTCTCAGTTTTACCATCTGTCACACAGGAAACTCATTTTCCCCATCCTCAATCCCAGGGCCTACAAGCAAGCCTTCACATCTCAGCCCAGGTGAACCTTCTCAAACCTCTGGCGTCCTTGCCCTCTCATCAACCTTCTATGGCTCCGTACTGCCCTTTCCTATGTTCCCACTGCCAAGTTGCTTCCCTGGATGACCACCATAATGACCTACAGTTCTGTGCTGTGCTGGGGTTGGTTCTGTCCCATGCACTGGCCTGGATATTCTCCGGGGCATGGCAGGGACCTGACCTATCTTGGAACCAGGTCCAGAGAAGAGCCCAGTGAGTAGAATGCTGGGGTGAGGGCTGGGCCCACCTGTTCCAGCTGCAGCTGCAAGGTTCGCTGGGCCACCACATCCCCCAGCGAAATCTCCACGTAGGGGTAGCTAGAGTTGGCTGTGGGCCGCTGGGTCTGCGTTGACTGGATCTCCTTCAGGGGGAACTTCACCATCAATTCCTGGGAGCAGGGGGAGAGGGGCCAGACAGGCCTGTGGGTGAAGATAGTCTCAACCACTCTTACCCCTCCCCTGCAAATCAGATCAATAGGAGGCAGGAGACTCCAGTTCAAGTACCTGTTCCCCAGTGACCTGTATGACCTTGAGCAAGTCACTTTACCTTTCTGGACCTCAGTTTCCTCACCTGTGAAACTGATTCAACAAATACTGATGATGCATCTACCATGTGCCAGGCAGGCACTGCTCTAAGTGCTTGGGATACACTTAGTGGATGCTGTTGGTGCCCTGAACGTCACATCAAAGTTGCTTCTTGTGAACACTTGCACCCTTTTAAAACTTCCTTTTTGTGGAGAACAGGGCCTCCTGTGTTGCCCAGGCAGGTCTCAAACTCCTGGGCTCAAGCAATCCTCCTGCCTCTGTTTCCCTAAGTGCTAGGGTTACAGATGTGAGTCAGTGTCTAGTCTTTCTAGGGGCTTTTTTCTGGCCCAGGAAGCAAACTTGGACCACATACAGAAAAAGAGTGATGGAGAGTTAATGCCTCAGAAAGAAGCCCTTGCAAATGACAGATGGGAAGCTGAATAGACACCCTGGCTCCCTCACCCCCAGGAGAGAAGGAAAGCTCTAGGCTGTCTCTCAGGGCCCCCCGCTGGACTGAACTCCAGGTGCCCACATCAGCAACTTGCTTGCTAACATGCCCTTTACTGGCTCCATCCCTTCCCTGACTGACTTCCTCACTCCAGTGTTTCCTGGAACCAACTCTAAATCAACCACTTGCCCTTGAATCCCAGTCTCAGGGTCTAGTTCTGGGAGCAAAAACTAAGGGGGTAACAGATCCTACTTATGGGCTGAATTGTGTCCCCCACCAAATCCCCATGTTGAAGCCCTAATGCCTCAGACTGTATTTAGAAATAATGCCTTTAAAGGAGTGATTAAATTAAAATGGAGTCATCTAATATGACAGATATCCTTATAAGAGGAAATTTGGATACACAAAGAGATACCAGTGTTGTGCACACACAGAGGAAAGGCCATGTGAGGACACAGTGAGAAGATACTGTCTGCAAACCATCAAAGAAACCAAACCTGCTGACACCTTGACCTTGGACCTCCAGTCTCCAGAACTGTGAGAAATAAACTTCTGTTGTTGAAGCTACTGAGTCTGTGGTCTTTTGTTATGGCAGCCCAAGCACACAGATGCACTATTTGAGTGCTTAGAGTATGTTTTACCTCATCTGACCTTCACAAAAGCCCTATGGGTAGGGCTCAATTCTTATCCTAATTTTCCAGATGAGGAAAGCAAGGCTTAGAGAGGGGAAGAGACTTGCCCAAGATCATGCAGGTGGTAAGCAGTGGAACCAGGCTTCAGCAGCTGGAAGTCTTGGCCCCTTGGAGGGGTTAGGGGACCAGGGAACAGAGGGTGGTGATGGCAGGGCCAGGCTGAGGCCACTTACATGAGTCTCTGTGCTGAGAAAGTTGAGGCCATTGTGGTTGACGGCAAGGATGCAAGGGGCTGGCACAGCGATGTTGCTGCAGCTCTGGATGAAGAAGAAGGAGGAGCCAAACATAGGTAGGGCACTGAGGAGACCTGGGCAGGGAGAGGGGCCAGCAGTTACGTGCTGGGTAGGACTCACTGACAACAGCCCTGGCTGTGAACTGCACAGCTGCCCTGCGGCCTGCATCTTCTCTGGGCTGTATCTAGCCAGTGCAGGAGCCCTTGATCTGGGTCTCCACCCATCTCTGGCCTCCCTTCTCGCTGCTTCTTCTTCTATCCCTGTGTGCAGCTCTTCTTCCTCTGCCCAGGGCCATTCTGAGCCTAGGTGACATCTCCATAAAAATTGTAAAACATGTTTTCTCCAGGGAGGTGCTCAGTTTAGCCAGCACTGAAAAATGCCTTTGTGCAAAGAAAAGAGGTGCCTCCATACCCATCCTCCATGACCACCCTCCTCAGCAAAGACCCCTATGATCACCTCCCCTGCCCTACAGCTCTTACCCAGAAACTGGGCGCGGGCCTGGTGGGGGCTGAGCGCCTGTGTCTGCTGCCGGTGCTGGCTGACCAGGTTGAGCCAGGTTGAGCCTGCTGTTGTACGGTAGAGCTGGGCTGGGATGTAATCCTGGACTTCTCGCCTGTGTATGGAGGGAGGGGAAAAGGTCCTGAGTGAGCTCACAGGCTCATGCAATCCTCACTGTGCACCATGCATGCAGAGCAAACCTGATCTCTGCAACTCCCTGTTGGGGAGTGTAAATGGGCTGAAGGTGGGGTAGAGGCACCCACAGTGGCTTGGTACTGCTTAATCACTGTCTGGGCCAGTACCACTAGGATCCCTGTTTGCAGTTAAGGTAACTGAGGCTCTGAGAAGTTCACCGACTAGATAAGGTCACACAGTGACTGAGTGAGTTAGCGTCACAGGTTGGCAGGAGCAAGACTTGAACCTAAGGCAATTTCTTTTTTTTTTTTTTTTTTGAGATGGAGTTTCGCTCTTATTGCCCAGGCTGGAGTGTACTGGTGTGATCTCAGCTCACCGCAACCTCCGCCTCCTGGGTTCAAGTGATTCTCCTGCCTTAGCCTCCTGAGTAGCTGGGATTACAGGCATGTGCCACCATGCCCGGCTAATTTTTTGTATTTTTGGTAGAGACAGGGTTTCTCCATGTTGGTCAGGCTGGTCTCGAACTCCTGACCTCAGGTGATCTGTCCACCCCAGCCTCCCAAAGTGCTGGGATTACAGGAGTGAGCCACCATGCCTGGCCTAACCCAAGGCTATTTCATCCTTCATACCTCCTGCCTCCAAGGAGAAGCAAAAGCCAGAGGAGTGAGAGGAAACATCATGGTGGGCAAAGCCTTGAGCAGGGCTGGGCAGAGACTTGAGCAGAGGAGTGCTGGGTCTCCAGGCTGGGGCCCCTGGGTATCAACTCACCCCAGCCATCTTCCCTCTGACATATGCTGGCTACCTCAGGGTCCCTTTACCTCTTGGGACATCTGGAAAATATCAATAGCAGTCCCAGCTCATCCTGACCAGCTGGAGCTGCCGATGAAGGAAGGGTTGGGAGAAAGCCAGGGGAACCCTCTCCTCCCAAGAGATTCCCTGGGCAACATCTGTCCTTTTTTGCACTGCTGGGGTAAGGGCCTGGCATCTGAACCCACCCTTCCCAGTTTTGGATCCTGGTTCCCCCATGATTAGTGGGCTAGACTTCAGCAAGTCACATAACCTCTCTGGGCCTTTTCTGTAAATAGGGAAAATAAAGTGCAGTTAGGAAGAATAGCTGAGATAATGCATATGCAGAGTCCCTTGCAAAAAGTAAGAACTCAATGATTTTCATCCAGGATTGGAATCATTATCTTTATGTGCTTCCTGCTCTTTTCACTTAAAATTATACATTAAAAAAAAGAAGAAGCTTTTGGCTAGGCACAGCAGCTTATGTCTATAATCTCAAGACTCTGGGAGGCTAAAGAGGGAGGATAACTTGAGCCCAAGAGTTCGAGACCAGACTGGGGAACATGGTGAGACCCCTGTCTCTACAAAAAATTTAAAAATTAACTGGGCGTTGTGGCATGTGCTTCTGGGTTCCAGCTACTTGGGAGGCTGAGGTGGGAGGATCATTTGAGCCCAAGAGGTCAAGGCTGCAGTGAGCCATGATTGGGCCACTGAACTCCAGCTTGGGGGACAGAGAGAGACCCTGTCTCAAAAGAAATAAAAATAAATAAATAAAAATAAGGAGTTTTACATATTGAGCCCTTATTGTGTTATAGGTACTGGGATATACATGGTACAGACATCATTTTACTATTCTTTTTTCCAGGGGTTCTCAAAAGTGTGGTCTAGGGGGTTAAAAACCATTTTCACTGGGCGTGGTGGCTCACACTTGTAATCCCAGCACTTTGGGAGGCCGAGGTGGGCAGCTCACAAGGTCAAGAGATAGAGACCATCCTGAGCAACATGGTGAAACCCCATCTCTCCTTAAAAAAATACAAAAAATTAGCTGGGCATGGTGGTGTGTGCTTGTAGTATTTTTGTATTTTGTAATTTTAAATTTTTGTATTTTTAGTAGAGATAGGGTTTCACCATGTTGGCCAGGCTGGTCTCAAACTCTTGACCTCAGGTGATCCACCCGCCTTGGCCTCCCAAAGTGCTGGGATTAGAGGTGTGAGCCACTGCGCTTGGCCATGAGGTCCTACTATTATTATTATTATTTTGAGATAAAGTTTCACTCTTGTCACATAGGCTGGAGTGCAGTGGCACAATCTCGGCTCACTACAATCTCTACCTCCCAGGTTCAAGCCAGTCTCCTGCTTCAGACTCCCAAGTAGCTGGGATTACAGGCGTCCATCACTACACCTGGCTAATTTTTATTTTTTTATAGAGACAGGGTTTCACCGCGTTGGCCAGGCTGGTCTCAAACTCCTGACCTCAGGTGATCTGCCCACCTCAGCCTCCCAAAGTACTGGGATTACAGGTGTGAGCCACTGTGCCTGGCCCAGGTCCTCTTTTCAAGAGTGTAAAAAGATCCTGAGATCAAAAATTTGAGAATGACTGATTTACACTGTGAGCATTAATTATATCTTTGAGAACATCAATTTAAATGCTGTCTAGGCTGGGCAGGGTGGCTCATTCTTGTAATCCCACTGCTTTGGGAGGCTGAGGCAGGAGGGTTGCTTGAGCCCAGGAGTTCAAGACCAGCCTGGGCAAAGTAACCATAAAAGTAAGTTCAGCCTGGGCAACAGAGCAAGACTCTGGCTCTATAAAAAGTGGTACATCTTTTTTTTTTTTTAAAGAAAGAAATAAAAAATTAATTAAATACATAAGTAAATAAAGGCTAACACACACAATTTACTTGATGACTCCTTGTTGTTGGATATTGACGTTACTTCTGATATTCTGCTATTGGAGCAGCATTGCACTGAATGCTTTTGTGGCTAAATCCTTCTGTATAGCCACGTGTTTCCTGAACCACAGGGAACGTGTGCCCTGGAAGCTTTTTTTTTTCTTTTTTTTGAGACAGAGTCTCGCTCTTATTGCCTAGGCTGGAGTGCAATGGCGCAATCTCGGCTCATCACACTCTGCCTCCCGGGCTCAAGTGATTCTCCTGCCTCAGCCTCCCGAGTAGCTGGGATTACAGGCACCTGCTACCATGCCCAGTTAATTTTTTGTATTTTTAGTAGAGACAGGGTTTCACTATGTTGGTCCCGCTAGTCTCAAACCCCTAACCTCCGGTGATCCACCCACCTCTGCCTCCCAAAGTGTTGGGATTACAGGTGTGAGCCACTGAGCCTGGCCCTGGAAGCTTTTTTTTTTTTTTTTTTTAAATCATTCCCTTTGGTCTGAGTTAATAATAACAACCAGAAGCAATTTGTGAGAGAGAGCTGGGGTCCCAGCTCCTATAGGTAGGTGGAGACTTCAACCCCCAGGCAAAGACAGCCCCTTCCCAGACAGCCCCACTGGTACAAGAGGGGAGCCTGGGGGCCTGGGGACAGCCAGCTCTGAGGAGGGTGGAGGTGGGCTGAAAGGGCAGGGTTGCCTGTCCACCCCAGCTGAGACAGGCGGGCAGGTGCTCACACACTCGGCAGGTAGAAGTGGTCCTTGGCGCGGTGCTGCAGTGAAGCCAGCTTGGACACCTGCTGCAGCAGCTGCTCACTGGGCCGGCTGGCTGGCATGCTGCTGAAGAGGCCCTTCAGGTAGTCAGGCAGGACCTGCAGGGAGCACCTGGGTAAGGGGCTGCCAGGCAGGCATGCATGCAGTCACTCAGCTGCAGGGGGCCTGGGGACATGCAAGTCTAATGACTGCAGCCCCATCCTCTTCTGGGGTAGGATGGCCTATTACTTTCCTGGGTTTTGGAGAATGATGGCAGAAACAGATAATGGTGATATGGGAGGACAGTGGCCTTGATGCCTATGAGGGAGTCCCCACAGCAACCTTGCCAGGTTGTGGGCTGGCTGGTGAGATCAGAGAATCAACACTGCAGTGTGTACGTGTATCTATCAGGCCTGCTGTTTCTCAAAACTTGAGTGTGCCTGAGTCACAGGAGGGCTTGCCAAAACAGACGTCCAGGTTGTGCCCCAGAAGCTCTGAGTCAGGAGGTTTGAGGCAGGACTTGAGGATTTGCATCCCGTTTTTGCCAGTCCACAGGCTTCACATCGAGTAGCGTGGAGCTGGACTGCGTAGGGCTATGCTTCAACAGTGACACCATGTGGCCGCAAAAGCTACGTGACCATATTGTGTACAATTCCTGAAGTTTTGGCACCAGTTCCACAAAAATACACACTTTCTGTCCAAGCACTTCCAAACATACTGGCACAGTAGGGGGGAACCCAGACTTTGTAAACTCCATGATCCTGACTTAGAGGACTTCCAAGTCTCAGAGTAGAATAACACACAGACAAAAATGACAATATCAGCAAAGCCTGGCTTAGCACATAAAACAAAGGACAGGCCCATGTTCAGAAGAAGAAGAAATCAGGAGGAAAGTGGACCTCAAAGAGGGCCTAATGGAAGAGGTGCTGTTTGGGGGCAGCTTGCTGGAGAGGAATTAGATAAGCTGGGAAGTCCACATGGAGGCATGGCATGTGCAAAGGCCCTCAAAGGTAGTGAGGGCTGTTTTGACTTCTTCCAAGAGACCACATAGGGGAGCAGAGGCCTCAGGGTTAGAGAGGTCCACAGTGCCTGAATCATCAAATACCAGGGGTGTGGAGTATGACTCACAGGCACGGGGGAGACTAGAAGGTCCCAGAGTCCAGAGAAGCCCATGTGTGCTGACCTGGTTGTAATGCATGGTCACATACAGCTCATTCTCGAACTTGAGTGGCTGATCCCAGAGCACACGCCGGAACCAGAGCATGTAGCCGCCATCCACTTGCTCCATCTCGGAGGCCACGTCCAGGATGTAAGCACGGCGACTGAGTGGGCACACATGCTGGCCTGCAGAGAGCAGGGAGGCAGGACTGGGTGGGGGTATGTGTGCACACACATGTGCACCTGTACAGAGCATGTGTGCAGACCCCAACCTGCTACCCAGGTGAGGCATCACCTCAGGCAAATTATCTACCTGCTCTGGGACACAGCTTCCTTGTTAAAGGAGAACGTATTTGTTGAATGAGGTGCCCTATGTTTTATTGAAATGTTGATGACCACAGACGGGAATAACTCCAATTCAAAGCTATAAGTAATGCTCCATTTCTCCTGGGGAAAGAGGAGCTGCTGAAGAGTGCCCCAAGGGTGGCCTGCCTGGATGGGAAAGTGCCCTGCATTATGGCCAGAGAAGGCCCAGTCCCTTTCTAGAGGAGGCTTGGGACAAACACAAACACAAGAGGCTTCAGACCATGACACCCGGTGGGTACCTTTCTGCAGACCTCCTTCAGGAGAGACCCCTTGCCAGGCACCTGGCATAGGTGGGGGTGGGGAGGATTGGGGTCTAAGCCTGTGAGAGGCTCAAGTTTTTCTCTCTTTAACTGACATTTCTGCCACCCATCTCACACCTGCAATAAAATCTTACTAAAGAAAGGGAGTTTGGTATGATTACATGATTACCACTATGTGACTGTTGGTAAGTCACAACTTCTGTGGCAGGCTGAATAATGACCCCTCCAAAGATGTCCAGGTCCTAACCTCTAGAACTTGTGAATATGTCATGTTCTTGGCAAAAGGCACTCTGCAGTTGTGATTAAGTTAAGGATCTGGAGATGAAGATGATCCTGGATTATGCAAGCAGGCCCAACGTCAGCACAGGGGTCCTCATAAGAGGAAAGCAGAAGGGTCAGAGTCAGAGGAGGAGATGTGAGACCAGAAGCAGAGGCTGGTGGGGAGAGATTTAAGGATTCGACGTTGTTGGCTTTGGAGATGGAGGAAGGGGCCATGAACCAAGGAATGCGGGTGTCCTCTAGAAGCTGGAAAAGGAAAGGAAACAGATTCTTCCCTAGAGCCTCCAGAAGGAACCTGGCCCTGATGCTATTTTCATTTTAGAACTTCTGACTTTCAGAATTATAAGGTAATTTATTTGTATTTTTTTAAGCCACTAAATTTGTGATAATCTGTTATAGCAGCAATAGGAAAGTAATACAGCCTCCCTGGGCCTCAGTTTCCCCATCTGTAAATGCAAAGGCTAACAGCCTCCACTTCATAAGGTTGTTGTGGCGATTAAAAGAGTTCACAGAATGAAATGCTTCCTTTTTTTTTTTTTTTTGAGACAGAATCCCACGCCATCGCCCAGGCTGGAGTGCAGTGGCATGATGATGGCTCACTGCAACCTCCGCCTCCGGGGTTCCAGTGATTATCGTGCCTCAGTCTCCCCAGTAGCTGGAATTACAGGTGTGCACTGCCATGCTTGTCTCATTTTTAGTAGAGATGGGTTTCACCATGTTGGCCAGGCTGCTTTTGAACTCTGGCCTCAAGTGATCCACCCGCCTCAGCCTCTGAAAGTGCTGGGATTACAGGCATGAGCCACCATACCTGGCCTGAAATGCTTTGAATTGTGCCTGGGGCACAGCATCTGTTCAATAAATGTCAGTTATTAGGACTGTTTTGTTACCTGCCATTCTCCCCTAATGTCTTAGCTGGACTTGGGTGGGCAGGCAGGGCTGACAGCACACGGCTGAGGGCTGAGGCAGTGGTAGGGAGGGCTGGCTGGGGATTGCTGGAGCTGACCAGCTGGTGACAGGAGTCAAGACCATGATCTAGACCCTAGGGCAGGCAGCAGATGGAAGGGGCTTTGGGATATGTGATGGTCACCTATGGTCCCAGGAGCCCTTGAGAGGGGCTCAGTGACACCTCAGGAGGGGCTCCTCTGGCCATTATAAGGCATGAGAAGCAGGAAAGAAGGCTTGCACCTTTAGATTCCAGGAGTGTGGGGCTACCAATGGAAACTTTTCCAGGATGTAATCTCTTTGAGGGCACAGCCTATGTCCTCCCATTGAGCATGCCCTTAGGGGCAAAGGGAGAGATGAGAGAGGGCCCTCACCACAAGGTAAGGCAAAATAAGCAAAGCAGAGAGGGACAGACGAAGGGCTGGGGGTGCCTGGTACACACAGAGATCCTTCCCCATAGGGGTCAAGGGGCTTCCTGGAAGAAGTGGCACCTGACTTGGGCCGTAAAGTCTGGGTGGAGGCCCCACATGGCCCAAGGCCGGGGGATGAGAATGAGCCCAGCATGCTCAGTCTTTCTGGCACTCACCACGGTTGGTGACAACGAAGATAACATATTCATTAAAGGCCTCGGGGCGTGTCAGAGCCATCTCAGCACAGATCTCTTCTATCACGTCCAGGGCCACCTGGGGGTGGGGGCGGAAGGGATGAGGCCATGTCAGTTAGGATTCACCTCTGTCCTTCTGGCCCCACTCAGGCCCCCAGAGGCCATGTGTGGAGTTCCTCAGCCCTCTTCACAGAGGTGCACAATCCTCTGAGGTCTCTGAAAATCAGCCTCAGGCAGGGAAAGAACACAGCTTGTGGTCTGAGACTTAGGTTTAAAATCTGCTTCCGTCCCTTTTCTGCAGGATGACCTGAGCCAGAGGCCTAACCTCTCCGAGGTGCAGTTTGCTCTTCTGAGAAATAAGTCCTGCCTTGTGGGACTGTTTGAGAGCCTGGGAAGGCTCAGCATCCTTGGGGGCTTACTCCATCCCCATCCTGGAGGCTGGGCTGTTCCTGTTCCTGCCCCTCCAGTACCTGACTGCAGGAGACATTCCTTCACTTACAGTGCATGTTTTGATTTTGAGATGGCGTTCAAGGCCTCCAGGAAGAAGAAAGAGTTGCCTCTTGGAACTGCGGCCTGCCTGGGGGTGGGTAGGTGGGAGAGGGGTGACAGGTTGAGTCCTGGGATCTGAGTGGCCCTTGTCCCCTGCCCTGGGAGTTCCCAAGCCAAAGGGTCCTGGGCTTGCATGTGTAGGAACACTTGAGCACCTGGGCCTTGCAGGGCCTGTCTGCATGCCCCTGAGTGCAATGCACCTGACACAGAGGTCTCTGGGCAGGGCTGTGTCTCCCATTCATTCGTTTTTGTTTTTTGACATGGAGTCTTGATCTGTCACCGAGGCTGGAATGCAGTGGCGTGATCTTGGCTCACGGCAACCTCCGCCTCCTGGGTTCAAGCAATTCTCCTGTCTTAGCCTCCCGAGTAGCTGGGATTACAGGTGCTTGCCACCATACCCGGCTAACTTTTGTATTTTTAGTAGAGACAGGGTTTTGCCATGTTGGCCAGGCTGTTCTTGCACTCCTGACCTCAGGTGATTTGCCTGCCTCGGCCTTCCAAAGTGCTGGAATTATAGGTGTGAGCCACTGTGCCCAGCTTCCCATTCAATTTGAACCTACTTCTACCCCATGCTTACCAACATAGCCCGAAGCTCTATGCTGCTGGGGAGCTCCAGACGACCCCCAAAGCGCAAGGTTTTCTGCAGGTTCTGCTCACAGGCCTTGGCAATCCCTGCAGAAGCAGGGAGTCCAGGCCTTGCCGAAGGTGGGCAGTGGGAGAAAGGGGCTCCTCTTGCCAGCAACCATGAGCCCACTGTATTCTCTCTACAAGCTATGGGCAGGCATTTACTCCCCCACTTGACAGTTGAGCAAACAGTTCAGACAAGGACAGGGACTTGCCCAAGGTCAAGAGCTAGAGGTTAAGAGCTAGATTTGAACCCATATCCCACATGGTCTAGCCCACAGTCCCCTTGGCAACCTATGAGCCTGTAAACTGCTGTCATCCTGAGCTGCTGACTGGGAAGCTTGTAGCCAACAGGCTCTGTGGCTTGGGTGATGTAGCTCTGCCCCTGCCAGCTGGGATACCCTGCCAACTGCTCTCCCTCACCCAGGCCTCCCAGTGCAGGAGATCCCAGCATCAGTGCTCCATTTCTCTGAGTCGGGAGTTCTAGGGCACATTCTGCTGCCTTCATGCATCTGGAGCCCTTCCATGGGGAGCTGGGTCTATTCATATCTGTGTCTAGGCATATTTGTTAAGTGAATCAGAGAGAAGGATTCAGAGGCAGGAAGGGTAAGGTCTCCTATCTCCTCCACGGCTGCCATGGCGACGACAAGGGCCCCAGCCTTCTTCTTTGGGAAGCCCAGGGATTGCTATGGAAACAACGCTGAAGAGTGGCCCCCACTTTCTCCATATTCTTTTTTTATTTGAGATGGAGTCTCGCACTGTCACCCAGGCTGGAGTGCAGTGGTGCAATCTTGGCAACTTCTGCCTCCCAGGTTCAAGCAATTCTCCTGCCTCAACCTTCTGAGAAGCTGAGGTTATAAGCACCCACCACCATGCCTGGCTAATTTTTTTGGTATTTTTGGTAGCAATGGGGTTTCACTATGTTGGTCAGGCTGGTCTCAAACTCCTGACCTTGTGATCCACCTGCCTTGGCCTCCCAAAGTGCTGGGATTACAGGGGTGAGCCACTGCCCCAGGCCCCTTTCTCCATATTCTAAGATGGATGATACCAGCTTGGGCCCACCCCTGCCCAGATCCCTCAAGACCCTTGCCAAGTCCCAACAGTCAGCGAAGCGGGGCCGCACCCAAGTACTCTGGATTCTCCCACATTCCACACATTCCCACCCTGGTCTTTGCTCTTGTCACTCACTCCACCTGGAAATCCCTCCTACCCAGGGCAATACTTCTTCTAAGGAGTCTTTCCTGACCACCCCCTCCATTAGATCAGACAAACCACCACACTAGCCCCTGTGAAACCTTGACAAATGTTTGGGGAATAAATTAGTATTAGTAAACATTGCTTAGCACCTGTAAAGAGTGAGGCCCTCTGGGTTTCGCCTCCCACCAGCTGCCCACCTGGTACCCATGGGAGAAGCATGCAGCCCTGGGTCCCCACTCATTGACCTCTAACCTTGAAAGGGCAGGCCGGGGGTCCGGCTCACATCTTGGAGGAAGCGAGTGAGGTATGGGTGGAGGACCTCGGAGCAGCTGTGGTAGGCAGTCACAATGTACAGCAGCCTCCAGCCTCGCTGGCAGCTGTCCCTGCAAGGACACATGGGAGCCATGTCACAGGCAGCCACAGCACTAGAGTATGCCAACAGCCTCCTGGGATATCCCTCCTGGGATTGAGCTGAGGAAGATTCCAACTCTCAGGCAGCTCCTGTCTCCTGAAGATGCTCCTCCCTGCCCAGTGAAGAGGCCCAGGGCAGGTGGGCCTTGAAGCCATGCAGAAGGCATATGCTGTTTGGGAAGTCAAGATGGGGGAAAGGGAAGGAAGAGGATGGGGCCCCAGACATCTTCTCCAGGTAGGGGAAGTACTGTGACTCTTTCCCCTCCTATTCTTCTCTTTTCTGCCTCACAGCAGGTGGGGGATCTCTCTGAGAAGGCTTCTGGGAAAAGGCGAACCTGCTGAGACTGTGTAGAGGTCACGACAGGTAAGGCCCAGGGCTGGGAGGAGCAGGAGGACAAGCTGAGTGGTTCTAAAATTTCTGAGGAGATGGAGAGCAAGTGAGGAGGTAGTTCAGATGGAGACAGGAGCGGGCCTGATGGTAACAAGGGCACACACACATTGAGCACCTATTGTGTGCTGACCCTGCATGAGTGGAACACAGTAATTCATCTTCACATGATCCTGGGTGTGAGGGTTTCATTTGTAGGGATATCTGATGTCTGGGAACAACACTTGGGCTTCCTTTGGGAAACCACCCACCCCTCTCTGGATCCCTGTGGTTTGGAGATGGGCAAGGAAGTCAGGTTTGGTTAATGAGAACACTGCAACCCCTGGCCACAGTAATTGGCCTAGGGATAGGTATATGACCCAAGACTGGCCAGTAAGAGTTCAGCCTCCTCCTGGCTTTGGTGATTGGTTTTAGGATATACTTATATGTGACCTAGATCTAACCAATCACTACTCTGTATCCTCCAGCCTTTATGATTGGTTCAGGGTTGAGCTTGTGACCAACTCAAGCCTGTAAGGCTGGATTTGAGAATTTCTGCTGCAAATATTGGGTCAGTTTTCCTTTGTCTGGGATTGCTGAGCTGTTGCCCCAGACCTGCCACCTTGCTACTCTGTGGGAGAGGCTGTTTGGGAATGATCAACACAGAGGAAAGCAGAGCCAGAAGATGGAGAAAGCCTACTTTCTAATGACCTGGATCCAGCTATGCCTGAAGCCACATACTCATTGACTTTTCACTTCTCTGAATCAATGAGTTTCCTCTTGCTTAAACCAGCTTGAGTTGGGTTTCTGTCACTTGCAACTAAGAATCTGGACTTACACATTTTTATTGCCATTTTACAGATAAAGGCACTAAAGTTTAGACAGCAGAAATTGCGTGTTCCAGACCAAGTAATTCCAAAAATGTGCTCTATTGAGTAAGGAAGAGGGTGAGGGGAAGACTATCCAGGAGGGGTCAACCCTGGGGAGGTGGGAGGCTGAACTGGCCCCTCCTGGAGCATGGACACATTGGGGGAATGGTGGGGTAAAGCCCAGTTCACTCACTGCTTGGAGCTGGTATTGTCGGTGATCTGCTTCACAACTTGGCAGTAACACTCATCCCGCATGACCTCATGGTCCCCACACAGCTGAAGGAGGCCAGAGAGGTCACACAACAAAGACATATTAAGGGCTATGTCACATACCAGGTACCTAAGAACAGGGTGGGCACCTGGAGACAGGCCTTGTGTCCCTTTCCCAGCCCCCTCCCTACCAGCATGATGCATTCCTCTTTGGACCATTGGAAAGGCTTCCCACCCTAATGTCCTGTGACTGATTGACAGATGGGAAACTGAGCCACAGGGCAAAAAAGGAGGCATCTGGCAAAGTTGGCTGAACTGACCTTTAGGAGGTTACAAAGCACGTCCAGGTCACTCTGGCCCTTCAGTGGGGCATCCCCCATGAACCTCATCACAGCTGAAGGAAAGACCCATCCCATTCAGACCCACCAAACCCCCAGTTGCTCACCCACCCCAGGAAGCCCCAGGGCTGAGCCCTTCCCTGGGGGCCTTGGCCACAGGCAGCTGGGGGCTGCTATTCTCTTAAACGTGTCCCATGTTTGAGTTGGGGGGAGGGAAAGAATCTGAAGACCAGGGAGGAGTGGTGACCAGTAGACATCACACAGTGCTGGATCCCACCTGGCCCAGAGCCCTGGCTGCAGTCCCACCCCCACACCTAGGAACATGTCGGTGGCCATCTTGTTGAGGCTGCTGTCGCTGAGTTCGATGAGGGATTCCTGGAGAGGGGTCTGTGGGGAAAGAAGGCTATGTCATGATGGAGGAGGGACATGTCAGAACAGAGAGGGGACACATTGTGTTTCAAGGCCATATGATAACAGGAGGGTCCATGTCACAAAAGGGGAGCCAGGCCCAACACTGGGGACACATGCTGTCCTTGGGAGGGAATCAGGGTGCTGAGAGCTAGAGGGTCTCATTGAGAACAAGTTTGTTCAACCCAGGGTCCTGGGAGGGGGCCCCTGTATCACCATTTTACAGATGGGGAAACCGAGGTCTGAGACTGGACACCTTGGTGAAGCAAAGCATGTCCTCCAAGGTTCTGGACTCCCGACCTTCCTTGGATTTCAGCCTGAGGCCATCCCTGCGGTGGGAGGTGGTGGATGCTACTGACCTGTCCTGCCCAAGCCTTGGCTACGTGCTTTTCCACAAGGGACTGTTCTTGACCCACCATTCTGATCAGTCTACCAGACAGGGAGACCCTCAGAGGTAGGCACTGAAGTGGGCCTCACACCTGGGTAGTCTCTCATCTCTCCCACCAGAAGTGGGGCCTCCCAGACCGATAGCCTGCAGTTTGGACAGTTGCAAGAAGCCCAGAACCATCCCAGTGTGGGAAAGAGGGGTGGGGCCACCACTCACTGGGGTCTTCTCTGAGGGTCTCGGAAATACTTCTGGGCAAACTCGAGCATTGTGTAGGGCGGGAGAGCCACGGCTTCCTCCCGATGGTCAGCAGAGCCGGCCCTGACTGGGGCACCCTGCAGAAGAGGCGGAGCTACGAAGGCCCTGCCCGGCCACACCACGCATAGCCCTTCGGTCAAAACACAACGCAACCCCTCAAGCAGCCCGACCACCCATCCAACTGGACTTGCCCACCCATCTATCTGAAGCCTCCCGCATCCCGTTGGCCTTGCCCCTTTAGTCCACTCACGTCTTTTACTTGCAGGGCTAACCCCACTCCCCGCCCCACTTGGCCACACCCTTGCCCAGGTTTGACTTCCCCAGCTGCCTTGTCACAGCTGACCCCAGCCCTCGCTAGCTCCACAAGCCCGACCCCACCCACTCACCTGGCCTCACCCCATCCCAGACTTGACCTACTGGCGGGCCCAGGCTGGTCTGACCCCACTGCCCTTATTACAACCAGCTGATCCTTACCCTTCCCTACCCCGTTTGACCACACCTCCAGCCATCTCTGGACCCATCTCCTGGGTCTCACCTGCAGCTCACTCTATACCTGGTTCACCCTAGTCTAAGACCGGCCATGCCCCAAGAGCCTGGCCACGCCCTTGGCCGACCTTATTCCCACTAGCCTCACCCCTTCTGCTTAGTCTACCCCGCCCCACCGCACCCACACTGGTCTCACCTTTCTCCTGCGGCCCACCTCCTGTGCAGCGGCTGCAGAGGCCACAGCAGCGGCCACGGCGGCTGCTCGGCCACTGCCCGGTTCTGCTGGCAGCTGCAGGAAGTCGGGAGCAGCAGCGGGCTGCACCAGCTCCGAAGGGAAGCGGCCCACGCGCCCATGGATGGTCCCGAACCTCCAGCCTAGGGGCGGGTAAAAGGTCTAAGGCAAACTGGAGGGTCTTGTCTTGTGACTAAAGGGGTCCCTTAGGGAGACTTGGGTACCTTCTTAACCCCTCGCTAGAACTCTGTGAGGCAGGTCAGGCCATCGAACCCATTTTACAGATAAGGAAACAGGCTCAGGGAAGGAAAGGGATTTTCTCAGGGCCACAGGACCATAACGGGGAAGTGAAGCAAAAAAGCAAAGCAGGGTTTGTGGACTCTCTGGTCATGTGGAGACACAAAGAGAGTCTTGCGCCACAAACACGGAAACACCCACGGAGACCCGTCAGCCACATAAACAGGCAGAGCAGAGGGCTCTGTCTGACTACCAACAGATACTGACAGGCCATGCCTTGACCACTTTCGGGCACCAAGAAACCCTCACTGTGCATCTCAGCATGAGTGTGTGAAACTAGGATGCACCCTGTATGAGATTTCCAGGTTCTGGGGCACCCACCAAAGTCAGGGCCTGTACGCCGTAGCTCCTCCAGGTACACCACCTTCTTGCGGACCACGCAGCCGGCACTGTAGCCTGTAGGCCAGGCTCGGGTCAGCATCTCCCAGGGAGGCCCCCTTGGCCAGCCCCCCCTCCCCAACCCAGCCCACCCCAGTGGCACTGACCCACTCGAGGAGGCTCTAGAGGCTGCAGGTGGATGATGTCACCCTTGTGGAAAGCCAGCAGTGCCGGGTCCTCAGGCAGGAAGTTCCTCACAGCGACCACATAGTCAGAGTCCTGGGTCAGCCAGGGGCAGGGTGAGGGCAACAGCCCCATCAACCCACTCCCAGAGGCCTAGGGCAACCCCTGCTCCTCACATCCTTCCTGACTTATCAGGGAGCCCTCGTTAGGTGAGAAGGGGTAAGGGCATTCTGGGTGGAAGAAAGGGCTGGAGGCTGAGTCTGAGGGACACATATGGACTTTAGGGCACATGCATAGGCCTTCCCCACTCAATACCTCACCGACCTTCCTGCTAAAGCCTTCCTCAGGCCTGGGGCACAGAGATAACCTGCCCTAGGCCTGGGGCTGCCAGATGGGAGTGGGCAGAGGGGATGGAAAGAGACTGAGATGCAGTGGGCAGGGCATACAGCGAAGGCAGGAGGGTGAGGAGTACAGTTGCTGCAGAGCTCAGAGGAGATACTGTGTCCTCGGGAGGGGCACTGGCCAGCAGGGGGCATTGGCAAAGGTTTTCTGAAGGAGCAGGCAAAGGGTATTCCAAGCGGAAGGCACAGCCAGTGCAAAGGCCTGAAGGTAGACAGAAGTCTATGGACACAGTCATACTTCCCAGGCAGGTGGGGCTAGTATGTATGTGGGGCGGGAGAGTCCTGTTGCTGGGCCCTCAGCCTGGGTGGTGGGAAGATCTGTGGGAAGGTGCTGACCTTCTTCAGCTCCAAGATGAAGTCATCCACCAGGGTCTTGACCTGGTGAGCCCGGGCTGAGAAGAGGATGACCTTCTCACTGGCCAAGTTGAACTCCAGCATATTCTGGGAGGGCATTGTCACAAACAGGATATCTGCGAAGCTGGAGGATGGGCTGGTGACATGAGGGCAGGACTCCACTGCCAGAAAGTTGCCCTCCTTCTACCTGTTGTGCTGCTTCTGCTCCTGTCCTGCCCCATTTGAAGTCCACCTTGGCCCCATTGTGCCAGCTCCCACAGGACCCTAGGAACTTCCCACTTCCCCTCTCTGACCCAGGCTGTGGCTTCAGCTGAGTTCCTACCACCCTTTGGGACAACACTCTGACCCCTCTCCACCCTTTGTCCCTTAGTCCAAGCTCTAAATCTAGATTTGTGCCTACCCAAATCTCTCTTTCACCCACTGACCAAATTCTCTCCATCTTTCAAAGCAAGGAGCCTTTACCCAACTCGTGGGCAAGTTTCTATTCCCATCCTCAGGTTATAAAGGACGAAAGGGACTTCTGGCAGGGGAGGGAGTCTGAGGACTCAGTAAGGTGTCATGGCTGGCAGTGCTTCCCTCCCCAGCTGCATCAGGGCTTGGTCGTTTCCAGCACAGTTGCCCCTCTGCACAGTGCTGCTGCTGTGGGGGCTGGAAGGAGGGCAGGGGAGTGGGTGCATAGCTCAACCCCTTTCTGGCTGTGTGACCTGAGACAAACAACTTCTCTCTCTGAGCCTCAATTTTCCCAGCTCTAAAATGGGTTTGCTTCAATGGCTTGGCACAGAGCCTGGTGCATCATGGGTACTTGGTAAGTGGCTGTGGAGAGGAAGGAAATGCTGATGCTAGTCTGTACCCCAGTCTCCAGCCAGCCCCACTTCCCCCCTGCCAGTCACCTGTATGCACGCAGGACCCGCAGCTGCCCGCTGGCCTCCTGGCCACCCTTGACCATCCTCAGGAGTTTGATGCCCATGTGGGACACAGCTAGGAGCTGCACACCAGTGCCTACGCTGCCCTGGGGCAGGGATGAAGGGCATGTGAGGGTCCTCTCGCCTCATCCCTGAATCCTCTGAACAGGTAGGAGGCAGGTGGGGGGCTCGCACCGTGGCAGGGAAGAGGCGGGAGAAGTAGACCTCCCAGGTGTCTCGTGCAGCGCTGACCACGGCCCGCTTCACGCTCTCTGTTACCAGAGGCCTCTGTGTGTCCAGCTGGTTCTGGGCTATGGGAGGCCAGGTCTGGTCAGGACCCTCTCCCCACTCCCCTGCCAGCCCCCATCTCAGGGATGTCAGGGAGAGAGGTGGCTGATACCTAGCAAGAAGGCATCTAACCAGTGTCTATACTGAGAAACGGAAACTCAGAAATGGACGAGATGGCGAGGACACACAGTGTGTCAGGCATTGCCAACCCCAAACATGCAGCCAGGCCACGTGAGAGGCCAGAAGCAGAGCAAGGAGGCACATGTCTGGGAGACAGTGGGGCTGGGCTTGTCAGCCTCAGTCTCCCTCCGGGACAGGGCTGGCTGTGTCTCTGGCTTGTTGCTCCATCAATACCCTTCCCCACCCCCGAGATACCGAACAGGGCCTTCATCTTGAGCCTCTCATCCTCAGAGATGCGCAGGCAGGCTTCAGACAGCGTATCGTGCAGGATCTGTGGGAACAGGCTGTGATGCAGGCGGTGCATGGGACTCACCTGGCTGGAATTCAGACTGGACTCTACTAGGGTGAGTGACAACGTGGGGGGGGCGTCCCATTTTGCAGCAGTGGGGTCATCTATAAGCTGGGTCATCTGTGTAAATCAGATTCTCCTTCAGGGACCCTCTCCTTTCTCCTCACCCCCACAATCCAGGCCACTCTTCCTAGGCCTCAGTAATCTATACAGGGGTTTACAGTTGACTTCTGGGCCATGTCTAGCTTAGACAAACTATGGCTCTGATTAGGTTGAACTGTGGGCTCACTGACCCTGCCCATGGGAGGGGGGAGATTCAATAAAACAGCTGCCCGTCCTCACCCCAGTCAAGGACCCCAAGTCCTAGCATGCAGAGGCAGGCTTTGCCGCCAGCCTGTCTTCGCATTCACACTGCCATGCTGAGTTCACTGAGGCAGAAAGGAGAGAGAGGACCTCACCTGCCGGAACAGGAGGTCAAGCTGCACAGGATGGCTGTAGCTGTCCTTGGGGTAAAACACCTGTAGGGGCGGGGCTTCAGTGGGTACCTTCCAACTGCCCCCTCACCTTGCTTCACACCCGGCCCTGCCTCCTAGGTGCAGCTCTGCCCCAGCTCTGACTCCATTCCTGGCTTCAGCCTGGCCCTTTTCGGTCCTCCTGGACCCTCCTCTGCCCGCCTTCAGCCCCTCCCCTGGCTCTGGCTGTGCTCCGCACCTCTTTTCGCAGGAAGATCCTCCAGGGGGCGTCCTGATAGCCATAGAAGCTGGGGTTGATGAGGCGGTGCAGCTGTGTCTGCATGGGTTCCTCAGGTGGCTCCAGTGACCGTGAGGGCAGAGCTGGAGAGCACGGGGTTCAGGGAGGCAGGAGAAGGCACCTCTTAGGATGAAGTGGGAGAGGCAGGGCAGGTGGAGGAGGACACAGCCCCTTCATTCAACACATAAAAACACCTATTGTATATAGGCCTGGGCTAAAGGCTGAGATGGCCCCACAAACAAGGTAGACAAGGCTTCTGCCCTGGAGTTTAGTGTCCATGACAGGTGTGGGTGGCATGGATCATTCAGAAACAAAGCTCTCACTGCCCAAGGCTGGGGTGGAGGGAAAGCAGGGTGGTTTAGGACGGATCCTGGAGAGCTGGTCTATGAGGTCCTTCACTCCTAGCAGTCTAGGCAGATCTTGCTGAGGTGACAAAGGTGATTTGAGCTGTGACATGAATGGTGAGAAGGAGCCAGGCATACAATGGTTTTGGGGAAGAGCATTCTAGGCAGAGGGGATAGGAAGAGCAAGGGCTCCAAGGCAGGAGTGGGCTTGGAGTGTTCGGGGAACAGAGAGGAACAGAATGTGCCAAGGGGAGGAAGGGAGGAGATGAGGCTGGGGAGGTGGGCACATCATGCAGCGTCTCATAGGCCACAGTGAGGAGTTTGGAGCTTATTATAGGAGCCATCGGAGGGTTTTTGTCAGGGACAGGATGTGAGCTGCTAATATAGCTGTTAAGATCACTGTGGCTGCCAAGAGACAGAGGGTGTAGAGGTTAGGGCTCCAACTGTGATGCCAGGGGGCCTTGGGCAAGCCACTTAACCTGTCTGTGCCTCCATTTCCCCATCTGCAACATGTAGGAATAATAGTGTGACCTTGGGCAAGCCACTTAACCTGTCTAGGGCAACCCCTGCTCCTCACATCCTTCCTGACTCATCAGGGAGCCCTAGTTAGGTGAGAAGGGGTAAGGGCATTCTGGGTGGAAGAAAGGGCTGGGGCCTGAGTCTGAGGGACACACATGGACTTTACGTCATATGCATAGGCCTTCCCCACTCAATACCTCACCGACCTTCCTGCTAAAGCTTTCCTCAGGCCTGGGGCACAGAGATAACCTGCCCTAGGCCTGGGGGCTGCCAGACAGGAGTGGGCAGAGGGGATGGAAAGAGACTGAGATGCAGTGGGCAGGCCATACAGCCAAGGCAGGAGGGTGAGGAGTACAGTTCCCCATCTGCAACAAGTAGGAATAATAGAGCTACCTTGAAGGGTTCTGGTAGGATTATATGAGGCCAGGATGGGAGTGGCCAGAGATCTGTGCTACTTAAGTGCTAATATTATAATTATACCAATATGCTCACAACATGTACACAGGGGCTCAGGAACACACACTCCACCGACACACAGACTAGGACTCACCTATGCCCACAGACTTCCTCATATACTTGGATACCCTCCCCACCTCCTGGCCCTCTCACCTGAAGTGGGTGTCATGGATGGCCTTGGTGCACTGGTCACTGGCTTTACCAGGGCCACAGCTTCTCTGGACACCTGTCCCACCCCAAAGAGACTGCTCAGGGAGCAACAGGCAGGCCCTGTGGAGGGGCAGTGGCAGGGCCACAGCTTATAGGGGTGGCTGGTTTCTGAGGATTCCTGAGGCTCCTCTTTGACTTACGTTCCACCTGGGCCCAGCCCCACCCTGCCCCCTCACCTGGGTGCCAGGTGCAGCTGTCACGTGAGTCATCTGCCCTTTTAGGATCATCAGGGCCTCCTCATGGGGGTCTGGCCGCTTCATGAACACCTTCCCGCCACCCTTTCTGTGGGCGTTGGAGAACCGTGGCAGGTTGACACTGAGTCTCCCTTTCCCATCACATATTTTGACAGTAGGGAACTTCCTCCTCCTCCACCACCACTCCCATCTTTATAAATGAGAATCCAGAGAGAAGCAGAGACTGGCCTGAAGTCCTACAGCACAACCTAGACAACAGCAGGGGCTCATCTGGACTCACCATAAACTCCCTCCCTAACAGGAACTGGGCAGGGTGCTTCAACCCCTGCACCAGTAAGCTGGTGCACTATGATGGACACTCAGGCACAGTGAGGGGCTGGAGGGCTGAGGGCAGGGCAGAGCTGACCTGAGGGCCTCGGGCCGGCCTCCCCGGAATGGCTGCTGGTACTGCCTGACAATGTGCTTGATCTGCTGTGTGGGCTGTGGGAAGTGCTCAGAGTTGAGTGTTGAGTACCGGACCAGCTCTGGAGAGGGTGAAGCTGTGGGCAAGCAGGGTGGTGGGAACAGGGTGAGGTCATAAGAGGCACAACCACATCCCCAGGCCTGTCCTGGGAAGCCTCAGAGGCTGGGATAGGGCACTCACCGGTTTCTGGAGAAGCCTGATCATGAGCTAGAACAGGGGCAGCCACAGGCTTGGCAGGGGGCCTTGGAGCCTTGGCCAGAGGGGCTGGGGCCAAGGGCTTTGGAGTGGCACGCAGGAGCACGGGTTTGGCCGGGGGACCGGTACCTACAGACTTCAGCTGTGTGTCTGGTGCTAGGGGTTTCTGTGGAGAACAGGACACGAGGTGGGCTGCCTGGGATAATACCAGGCTATTCTCTGGGACCCCAGATCTCTGTCAAAGATGGGCTGTGGAGTCCCTGGGCTCAGAGAGGCACAATAATGCCCTGGAGCAGCATAGCATCCATCTTTACAGCTTGTGTCTGTTAGCAGCCCCTGCACCCTGGGCAGGCCAGGCTTACCTCTGCGGCCAAGGATCTCGGGGCAGCACTTGGGGGCTGCTGCTGGAGTGCCATGGCCTGCAGGGTCATCTCCCGGGCCTGGGGAGAGGTGGCAGTGGTGACCAGGCAGGTCCATTCTCTACCCCCAAGCAGTTCCTCCCTCACTCACCAGCAGGACGGCCTGTTTGTGGATGAAGGCTTGCTGCAGAGCCAATGTGGAGGCGTCCAGGCCTGGGACTGAGGGGAGAGGGCAGAGGGCAGAGATAGCACCGGAGATGCCCTCCTCCCTGTCCTCTCACCCCCCACTGTGCTGTGGCTGCCTCCATTCTAGCACATGAAGGTGCCTGAGGACCAGCAAGCGGTTCTGGCCCTGCCCAACCCTGGAACCACGCTGGGGAGGCACTGACTTGGCTTTGGCTCTGGGGGCCTCCTGGGGGTGTCTTCGGTACCACTACTGCTGCCTCCATCTGGCTGGCCTCCCCCTTTCATGCGGTAGGCAATGGCTGTTGGTTTCTCCAGGTCCTAGGGGCAGTAGGTGGCTCAAGTGACCATCTCAATGCTGTACTCCTAAGGTTCCATGGCAACAAGCACCTGACACTGGCCACTTCCCTCCCTCTGGTGGGAGGGAGCGGCCTTTCACTGGCTGTGTCTGTTCTATGCTTAGCCTTTACCCCTATGGCATCCCAATCAGTCTTCCCCATAACCGTGTGAGCTCCCAACCCATTCTCTCTTCCCCAGAGGAGTAAACTGAGGCTCAAGGAGGGGCTGTGCCCTGCTCAGGGCTGCATATCATATCAGGGGAAGTGGGGGTGGGGTGGGTTCTGGAGAGTTTCCAGAGTGAGCAAGGGTACCTGAGGGGTCTTGTGAGATCTGGGGCCAGAGGACCCAGGGACCAAGGTCATTCAACTCCACCCAGATATTTTATTGGCCCCAGGGGGCTGGCTCCCACCAGAGGTGCATTTCTTTCTTTCTCTTTCTTTTTTTTCTTTTTCTTTCTTTTCTTTTCTTTCCTTCCTTCCTTCTTTCTTTCTTTTTCTTTCTTTCTTCTCTCTCTCTCTCTCCCTCTCTCTCTCTCCCCCTCCCTCCCTCTTCCTTCCTTCCTTCCTTCCTTCTTTCTCTCTTTCTCTCTTTTTCTTTCTTTTGAGACAGGGTCTTGCTGTTGCCTAGTAATGGAGCTAGAGTACAGTGGTGCAATCATGGCTCACTGCAGACTTCCTGGTCTCAAAAGATCCTCCTGCCTCAGCCTCCTAAGTAGTTGGGACTACAGAGGCATGCCACCATGCTTGGCTAGAGGTACACTTGTAACTGTGGGTCCTTCCAGGATCAGCTAAGAGCATCTCTAGCTGTGAAGCGACCCTCATCATTTGCCCAGCCTCCAGCAGACACCCAGATGGGACACACCACCCCATGACCCTGGCTGTTAGAAGCTCTCAGGTCACCCTGTACAAATGTGTGACTTGGGTGTACATGCTGTGCCTGCAGTCTGCAGATGACCTGCCTCACTCCATCCCTACCGCATCCCCATAGGACAGCACGGGGTCGAAGAGGCTATCCAGGTAGCAGTCCAGCCCCTTGTGGGGCCCAGCAGGTTCTCCAAGACTGTCTGACTCTGGAGGGGAGGGCATAAAAATGTCAAGGAGTTATTTTTTCCTTTTTTCCTGATGATTTCCACCCCCCATAGCCTCCAAGGCTCCCTCCCCACCAGAGACAGCAGCCATTGTTGGTTGACCTTGGTGGGGTGCTGTCCCTCTCTGGGCCTCAGTCTCCCCATTTGTACCATCCTCATTGTGGCTGCTGTTCCCATCAGAGTCCGGTACTTTGTGCATGTGCTCCTGGAGCTGGGGTCTGGCGGGCGTGTCCTCATCCGAGTCCCAGCTGTTTCCAAACACCCTGTGGGGAAAAGGAAAGTGGAGCTGCTGACCCCCAGAGAGATCCCAGAACCCCCCAAATTTTCCTCTGCACCCTGGAATTGGGTGGCTTTCTCCCTTTAAAAGCAGGATACTTTGGTGAACTCTACCTCCTTAAGAACCTGAAGTCTAAGTTCAGGGCTCAGCCTGTCCCAGCAGCTGGGAGAGGCAGGCTTTCTGCCTGGGAGCGGCCATCTGTGAGGGGGTCCCCCATAGCTACCTACACTTTGGGGCCTCCCCTGCTGGGTACAGGCCCCTCTGTGCCCACAATGAAATAGGACTTCTGTCGAGGGAAGTCCTTGAGCAGCTCCAGGTCCGACACCAGGTCCAACACGTAGTCGTGGCCAGCCAGCTCTGCCCACTGGACACCATTCTTCATGGCCACAGTCCAGCCACGCCAACCATCTGCCATCCCCCTGGTGATGGCATGCACAGGAAAAGAAATGAGGGTCAGAGTCATCAGGCACTACCTGGGAAGATCCTGGGATATAAGGCAGACCCTAAACATGAATGGAGTGGACCCTACGGGACCCTTTGGGGGATCTGACCTCCCCCCAGCCTACATTCCAGGTACATAAGAGTGTGCTGGGAGGGCATCCTAGGAGCCAACCTGTGCCTCAGAATGTCTCCAGCCACCTCTTCCCCCGTACTCCAGGAGTGCACCGGGCAGGAGAACTGGTCACCTGGGGCACAACAGGTGCTGGGCTCAGGTTGGAGCATCTGAGTCCAGTCTGGCTGTGCCTCCCTGCTTGCTTCCTCCTCTCGGGCTTCCTGCATCTGTAGTCTCACTTCCCTGGCTTCCCCTCTCCGGGCCAGTTCCCACCCCAACACACAGACTTTCATGCAGAGCCATATTGGAGCAGGCTCCTCCTTGGCTCCAGAATGTCCAGTGACTTTTGCCATCCCTAGGGCTCACTGGGCCCTGATGACTCCCACTGCTCTCATTGAGGTTGGGAAAGGCAGCTTACCATTGAAGCAGCCCACGTCCAGTGCCATGCTGGCCTTCTCATAGGTCGCTGTCCACTCGAGCTGGGTTGGGGGTAAGCTTCGGGCAGCCCCCGAGCCCTGTTGTTGGGCCCGGCCCATGGCCTGCATGAGGCGGTGCTGACACACAGCCTGGAAGCCATTCCGCCCATAATCAGACACAAACCTGATGGGTAGGAGTTGGAACCAGGATCAAGAGGGATCTGAAGCCAGGCCGGTGGGTGGGGGTAGGTAATTCTGAGGCTAGTCTGAGAAAGGGCCAGCCTATTCCAGAGTCCCAAGGTGAAGCTGAAAAGGCCCCAGGCGAGTTCAGAAGGGTCCCAGGCTAGAGTCCAGTACTCTAGGATTATACTTAAGGGGTTCCAGGCTAGCCTACAAAAGATTGCAGGGTAGCTTAGAGTCCCATAGCTAAACTGAAAGGGTCCCAGCCTAGCCCAGAAGTATCTAAGGCCAGCACAGAGGTCCAAGGATAGACCAAAGAGATTCCAGCTTGTTGGAACAAAATGTCACTGACAGGATGTGGTCTGCAGCTGGGTGTGGGCAACAACCTGAACTCTGCCTTCATTCTCTCACGGGGTAACCTTGGGTGGTTATCTGCCCTCTCTGAGCCTCTTCTCCAAGTTTTCCTTTCTCTTTTTTTTTTTTTTTTTTTGAGACAGAGTCTCGCTCTGTCACCAGGCGCCAGGCTGGAGTGCAGTGGCGCGATCTTGGCTCACTGCAACCTCTGCCTCCCGGGTTCAAGCTATTCTCCTGCCTCAGCCTCCCAAGTAGCTGGGACTACAGGTGTGCACCACCACACCCAGTTAATTTTTGTATTTTTTTTAGTAGAGACCAGGTTTCACCATGTTGGCCAGGATGGTCTTGATCTCTTGACCTCGTGATCCACCTGCCTCAGCCTCCCAAAGTGCTGGGATTACAGGTATGAGACACCTCACCTGGCCCTCCTCCAAGTTTTCTATAAAAGAGATGGCTGAGGGTTCAACTCAACCTAGGCTCAATGAGCCCAATCCCTACCAGTCATTCCTCATGCTTCCCTCACCTCCACATCTTATATCCCCTGCAGCTAAGCCTGGCGGCAGGCCCACAATAGCCCACAGTAGCTAGAGAGGGAAGCTAGCACCAAGCCCTCAGGACAGCCCTAGACAGGCAGGCCAGCAATGGCCCTACCCTGGTGTCAGCTGCCACAGAGTCACAAGACTGGCCAGGTGATGTCCATCTGCTGCATGCTGGCCTGAGCATGATTCTGCAACTCTGTAGCTCACAGCCACCGTGTTAGGTGGGTTCTGTTGCCATCCCCAAATTATAGGGGAGAAACAGGTTCAGAGAGGGGCAGTGAATTGTATCAGACAGTGACTTGTCTCATATATGGCTGACCCAGGATTTCAACACTGATTGAGTCCAGCATCCATACTCCTAACCACCCCACTAAACTCCCATGCTGTGAGAGGTCAATGCATCCCAGTAGAAACTCAGAGCAGCCCTGGCCAGCCTCCATGCCTGAGCTTTCCAGCGTAGAGATCTCACTCCTGGCCTGACCTTTAACAACCCACCTGGGCCCCACTGCTGGTGCCACTGTCCCTCATGTTCCAGCCCCTATCCAGTCCCACTCACTTGAGAAGGTACTTGTTGAAGCGCGGGGAAGGTGCAAAGCCACTGAGGCAGGCGGCCAGCAGCAGCCAGCCCCGCTCGGCATTGTGGACATTGTGATTGTGCCACACCTGGTTGGCCAGCTGTGCTAGGATCTCGTCCCGCAGCTCAGGCACCGCCAGCCCCTTCTGCACAATGTAGTTGCCAAAGATGTTTTCCTGGGCACCATGCAGGTGGGGGTCGCCCATGAAGCGCAGGATCTGGGCCATGAACAGAATGTCTTGGAAAGTTGTTCCTTCTGGTCCCACATGCATCCCTTTCATGTCCCTCCCATGTGTGCCCGTGTCCACATAAATGCCCCTCATATTACAATATAACTACATATATATATACATATATATATATATATATATATTTTTTTTTTTTTTTGAGATGAGGTCTCTGTCACCCAGGCTAGAGTGCAGTGGCAGAATCTCAGCTCACTGTGCTTCAACTTCCCTGGGCTCAAGCGATCCTCCTGCCTCAGCCCCTCAAGTAGCTAGGATTACAGGGTGTGCAGCCACACCCTGCTAATTTTTGTGTTTTTAGTAGAGACAGGGTTTCACCATGTTGCCCAGGCTGATCTCAAACTCCTGGACTCAATGGATCTGCCCACCTTGGCCTCCCAAAGTGCTGGGATTACAAGCGTGCACCACTGCGCCTACAACTGCCATGTTCTATGCCAAATGACTAGGCAGTTCATCTCGACTATGGAAAAACTCTAGATCCAAAGTATGTGTTGTCTTCCCTGTTCATGAACCTTCTAGAGCTCCCCATACAGCCCCAGCTCCCTCCCCAGACCCCTGGCCTCCAACCAGACCCTCACTTTCTGCTCTATCTAGGCCGCAGAAGGTTCTTTTAAGCATTCAGATAGGACCACATCCCTCCCATGGAAGCCCCTGCCTTGGCTCCCTAGGTCCCTTGGGATGAAATCTAAGCTCTGGGTCTGTAATCAAGGCCTACTGGCCACTCTCATCCTTGCCCTTCTGACTCTGTTCTGACCATACCAATTTCCTCTTCTCTCTGTACTTTCTCCACTCTCCCTGCCTGGCAAATCCTCCTCCAGCTCAAACGCCTTCTCCTCCAGGAAGCCCTCTGTGGCCCTGCCCAGGGCTTTGGACTCCCTAGCTTTGGTGCTTCCCTCTGTCCATGCTGGTGGTCACTGGCCGGGTCAGCTCTGCTTCCCTGTCAGACTGAGAAGTCCTTAAGGAGAAGACCTGGGTATCTTTTTAGTGTCCCTGAAAGGCTCCAAGGCAGCCTTTTTTTTTTTTTTTTTTGGAGATGTAGTCTTGCTCTGACGCTAGGCTAGAGTGCAGTGGCATGCTCTCGGGTCACTGCAACCTCTGACTCCCTGGTTCAAGCGATTCTTCTGCTTCAGCCTCCTGAGTAACTGGGATTACAGACATGTGCTACCATGCCCAGCTAATTTTTTTGTATTTTTTGTAGAGATGGGGTTTCACCACGTTGGCCAGGATAGTCTCGATCTCTTGACCTCATTATCCATCTGCCTCAGCCTCCCAAAGTGCTGAGACTACAGGAATGAGACACTGTGGCCAGCCCAGGGCAGACGTTTTTTGCCCGTAAGATAGCTGGGAGAAGAAAAGCCACCAACCCCCAGAGAGGAAACCATATCCCTCCACTGACATAGAAGTTTCTTCTGGCCAGGTGCAGTGGCTCATGCCTGTAATCCCAGCACTTTGAAGGAGGCCGAGGCAGGCAAATCACAAGATCAGGAGTTCGAGACCAGCCTGGCCAATATGGTAAAACCCTGTCTCTACTAGAAATACAAAAATTAGCCATGTGCATTGGCACGAGCCTGTAGTCCCAGCTACTTGGGAGGCTGAGGCAAGAGAAACACTTCAACTCGGGGGGCAGATGTTGCAGTGAGCCAAGATTGCACCACTGCACTCCGGCCTGGGTGACACAGCAAGACTCTGCCTCAAAAAAAAAAAGTTTCTCCTTTGGGGAAGAGGTGTGGGGCTCATGGACTGGGCTTGGGCAGGGCTGGGAAGACTGGGGGCCTCATGGCTCAGCTTCAGGGCCAGGGGCTATGAATTAGAAGGTGGGCTTGGGAGGACCCCATACCAGCTTGAAGATGCTCATGGCTTCCACATGGTGCTCGGCTGGCAGCTGTGTAAGGGGTGTCCTCAGGGGCACTGTCAGCATCCCAAAGGCAGGTTCCTAGGGCACAGGGCAGGCATGTGAGCAGACAGCGCTGAGACTGATAGGCACATCTGGACCCACTGCCCTGTGCCACATGGGGCTCCAGGGCCTATGACACAGGGGCTCTGGTCCTCAGTGTATGGATAGGGAAACTGAGGGCTGATGCGGGGCCACAGTGGCCCTCAGCAAGTCGGTGGTAGGGAAAGGATGAACCCTCATCTGGAGGGAAGGAAATCAGAGCCGGGCTGATGTGCTATGGCTCCACCAGTTGTTTCTGAAATATTACCAGACTGGTTGGTAGTAAATAGCCCTGCCCAAGCCCCTGAGGGCTCTCCACTGCTATCCAGACCCCAGGGATCTCCCAGAGTCCCTATGATCCAGCAACTAAAAGGCTCATACCCAACACCACCGGGCACAGCCAGGACGCTGCCCCAGGGCAAGGACAATGTCCCTTCTAATTGGTCAGCCCTATCAGCCAGGGCACCTTGGACCTCAGCTAGCCCTTGCCTTGAAGTGGCACCGGACAAACTTGGCCATGGGATAGTTGTTGATATCCAGGGGCAGTGTGACACGGGGCTCAACCTGGAGCCGAGGAGTCCGCACAGGGGCCACCTGAGGCACTCGGGCCAGCCTGAGGCCTGTGGAGAGAGGAGGGAATGCAGTGCCTGCTCCAAACTGCCTGTGCCCTCCCTGCGCCCAGTGCCAACCCACCTGCCACTGCTTGCAGGAGCCCAGCCAGCTCAGCCGGTACCTCGAGGTGCCCCACAGCCACTACCTCCCGCTTGCTCAGCTCCTGGAGGAACAGTGCATGGGGCAGGGACAGGCCTGCCACATCCCCACCTTCCAGCCTCCCTCCCTGGCCCTGCTGCCACCCAGACCTGCACCTACCTCCTGCTCCTGCAACTGTGCCCCCTCCACCCGGTGCCTCCACTCTGCCCTCAGCTTCAGAAGAGCAGATGTCAAGGTGGGGAGTGGTGGGCAGAGGCAACCACGGACCCCCAGGCAGGCCAGGCTAGCTTATGCAAGGCAGCCACACTCAAGCAAGGAGGGGCTGCTTGCCACTGCCCCACTCCACAGGTGGGGTGGGAGGCCGAGGTTGGCCAGAAAAACAGGGAGGGGAAAGGAGAGAGAGCAAGAGAAAGACAGAGGCAAAGAGCGGAGGGAGGAAAACTCTGGGGAAAGAGATGTACAAGGAGGATTTCTGGGAGGTGGCTGAGCACTGTGTCATGGGAAGCCCTCCTCTGTAGTGCCACAAAGCCTTCAGTAAAGGCTACATACTGCTTTGTTGGTTTGGGACCTGCATTTGTCTTTCTGGTGGCTGGTTTACATGACAGTGGGCCAAGACATGAAGGTAAGAGCAAAACCATACCCAGTGACATTCAGGTCGCCAAATTCTAATGGCCCTTAATCCCTTAAGACCCCACTGTGAACCCAGCACCGGGCCAAATCTTTCAATGCAACATCTCATTTAACCCTTTCCACAATCCCAAGGGGTAGACTGGAAAATTGAGGAGAGAATGGCCCAGGTTACATAGCTAGTAGGTGACAGAGGTAGAATTTGAACCCCAAACTGCCTGAGGCCAATGGTCTCCTCTTGGGTGCTAAGTGCCTTTTCCCCTTCTCTGCTGTCCCCTTGGACTGAGATAGGGTAGGGTCTGTACCTTGAGGTAGCGTCGGCGGCTCATGTATGCGTGTACCAGGGACCGGAACTTCACCAGACTCCTTCTCATCTGCTGATAGCGCTGCCTGGATTGGGGGAGTGGGGAGGTCAGGGATTGGGGCTACAGGGTGACAGGGTGAATGAGGGGCAGAAAGGTCCCTGCCAGCCTGGCCTGGGAGCCAGTGTTCACACCTCACACTTGAGGCCCTTTGGCACAAAGGGAAACTGGAGCTCAGAGAGGGGCAGTGACTTGGCCAAGGTCACACAGCAAATTAAGTAGCAGGACCTGGATTAAACCTGCCTGAATCATTTATTTCCAAACAGTTTATAATCTCAGGGTCCCTGAGATGCAGGATAAGGCCCCTCTTGACTGAATGGATTCCTACCCACCAGTCACAAGGGCCTGGGGGTGGCTGGGAAGGGCATCCAAAAGCAGAGACAGAGAATCTGATTATCCTTCCTGCAGAGGCCTCCATCCTCACCTTGCATGCTTCCAGGAATAGGGAGCTCACTACTTAAGGTTGGATGTGACCTCTCTTGAGCCTGACCATAGGTCTCCTAGGAATCCTGCCTTTTCTGGGCCTCACCTGGCAAGGTAGCCACGGGCCCGGCTTTGCAGCAGGATGATCTTGTGGCGCAGAGAGCGGAATCGCCGCTTGATGAAGAAGCCACGGAAGCAGCGCTGCAGAGTAAGGGCTGCCAGATTCAGGATGTGCTCCCGCATGCTCTCCAGCAGCTGGTGTAGGTGTTCCTTAAGGAACAGCTGAGGATAGGAGGCAGGCACTGAGGCAGGTAGGAGCCAGGAGGCTGGTCTAAGGGCCCCTCCCTCTCTAGAATCCGTGGAGACAGAATAGACAGGGACGCCTCCTGGAGTGGAGCTGGAGGGATGGGGTGGATTTGGACAGGTGGAAGAAACGGTGCTGGTGAATCGGGCAGTTAGCATTCCATGTCCCAAGCTCATCTGGGTTGTTCCTGGGACAGTGGTCTCTAGCTTGGACATTTCTGACTCAGTGGTTCTGGAGCCCCCGAATTGGCGTCCCTTAAGAGCTGACCGTCGGGTGGAACTCACCTTGCTGACCCCAACACGGTACATGTTTGGCATGACTGTGCACAAGCGACTCAGCACCGACACACACATGTCCCCATTAGCTGGCAGGTTGTGCTTGAGGGCCACTAGACAGCAGTACCTGGCAGGGGGCCCACACTCAGTCTGGGGCTATGAGACCTACCCGAGGTGCCTGCTAGATCATGGGGTTACCACCCACGCCCAGTGCCCAGGAGGCCTAGTCCCAGTGGTGGCTCCACTAACAGTGCATTCTAAAAAAGGCACTCCATCCTCAATACTCTTTACTTCAGAGTGACTGAAAATTGTTACAATAGATGATTTCAGTAGAACAAGATACTTGACTGCCACCTGCTGGAAACTTTTCATTATAACCACTAAAACCATTCTAATCAACACGGAGGATTGATTATACATATTATACATTATACAGCATATAATAAAACTACAAAAAAAGGCAGAACAATAAATGTATCTACCACATAACAGCTATCATGTGGCAGCCTTATGTAGTGTACAGTCTGAGCAACTGTGCACAGCAAGCCCTGTGCTTCCTGGGTTGTGTATTCCTAGGGCCATGGGGAGTTGGGCAGGGATTTATACAGCTCAGGAACTACCCTAACCAAGATACCTGTCGATGAACCCCTGGAAAGGCAGGCGCACTGGAAATCCCTCCTTGCGGATCCTCACAGTCTCCAGCACCCCTGAATAGCGTAACTGTGCCATTACCACATCTGGCTCAAAGAGACCAGGCTCCTGTAGGGGTGCGCAGAGAGGGAGTCTGTCCATTGGCTCATCCACGTGCAAAGGGCACTATCATGGTGAATAGTCCCAGTGCTAGGCTGGGGAGATGCAGGTCCAGAGAGGCCAAGCCACTTGGTCAAGGTCACACAGCATGGGCAGGAGGATCTGGCTCTCTCAGAGGTCTCAGCTCTCACTCACCTTCTTGTGGTTGGGCTTCAGGCAACGCACAAACAAGGGGTTACACCTGGCAGTGGCAGGAAGAGGACAGCATGAGGCCTCAGAAAAAGAAGGCTCTCACCCTCTGAAGGTCATGAGGTGGGTTAAGGGTGAAGCTGGGTGCTCCGCCCACCTGCCCCCCACTCCACCTCTCCATCTTTTCCACCAGATCCAGGAGTGACTGCTGGAACTTGGCAGCCACGGTGTGTGCCTTGTAGAGCCGAGTGACGGAGCTGCTCTTGCCCAGGCGCTGAGGGGCAGCCTGTGGGGCATGGCTGGAGAAGAGGTGTGCCACCACCTGGGCAGGGGTTGGGGGAGGGAAAACAGACAGGTAGGGGCCGGGAGACTGAAATGAGGAGGAACAGAAAGCAGGAGTCAAGTCTCCGGACCAGGGGATCTGAAGACTAACTGGACCCCTGTTCCCTCTGCAAGGCCTCTGTTGTCCTGGCTTGCATGCTTCTCAAAACAGGTGGGGCTCAGCACCTTCCAAGGGATCCATCCCGTAACTGGCTGACTTCCCCCTTTAGTCTGAGGAACACACAGTCACTGACTGTGTGCCTGGCCCCAAGGTGGCCTGTTAGACACATGATTGTGAACTCTGGCTATGACCTCAGGAGGAGGGTGCCCAGTTGACAGGAGGAAGCAGAGGGCCAGATAGGGCCTCCCCAGGTGATGTTACCAGGCCTGTGCTCTGTCCTAGGGCCATCTACTGGCCACAGTGTAGCTGGGATGCAGGGCCTCCCCAAGGCTTCAAGAAACCCAAATTTGGTTCCCCAAGCTCTCCCCAGGGCCTTATGGGTGGAGTTGGGGGAACTGAGAACACCAGGAGGTGGGATTGGGAGAACAGATCTGGCAGAAAGCCAGGAGAGAATGGGCCAGGGAATGGGGTAGGGCCAGGAATGGGGTAAGTACAGGGCAAGGCCACAGCTGGTGGGATACAGCGTTAGAACTGGGAGTGGGGCCAGGGTCTGGCCACTGGGGCTGGGGGGAGCCAGAGGGCAGGATCAGGATGAGGAGCTAGGTTTAGGGAAGAGCCAAGCTAGGCGGGAACAGGTCTGGCCAAAACTAAGCAGAGCCAGGACTAGAGAACATGGTCCAAGGCCTGAAGGCGGCTGGGTGTGGGGGTAGGGCTATGCCTGGGGGCAGGGCCGTAGCGGCAGAAGGGAGGCTCACCCGTGTCCGGCTCCTTACGAACAGGTCTAGCACGTCCTGGCGCACTTGATCGTGGTTCTTGTCCAGGAACTTGTGCACCTGAAAAAGGAAACAACAGCCTGTAATCCTGGCCCTGCCCCTCCAGGCCTCTGTCTCTCTGTCTATCCTAGGAGGGACTGGATCCTCCTCACTGCTATGGTCCCCACCCCTCCAGACCCACTATTCTCGTAATTCCTGGGGGAGGGGAGCATTCGTCATGGCTTCACATGCCAGGTCGGGGTCTTGGCCTCACCCTCAGTGAAGTACATTGTCCTGTGCCCATTCTACAGATGAGAAAAGTAAGGCCCAGATGGGGACAGAGGCATGGAATCCTAGCCTGAGACACCTCCAGGGCAGGAATGAGTCTCAAATAATAGTGCTGAGGGTGCCCACAGTGATGTCACTACTGATAAGAGCTACTCTTTATCAAACCCACCCCACATTTCTCACACCCACCCCATGAGATGGGCACTATTATTATTCCCATTTTTCAAGTGAGAAAACTGAGGCTCAGACTGGCTAAGCAGTTTGCTCAAGGTCACAGAGCTGGGGCACAGCAGAGCCAGAACTAGACCTGGGCGTGAATGTGTGGGGCCAGTGTTGCGCTTCTATGTCTCTAACAGCTAGCAGCACTGCAGCACCAGTGGCCAGACTGGCCGTCTTGGGGCTCACCTGGTAGGTGACCTTGCCTGCATAGTGCTTGATGGTGAACTCAGGCAGCGGCATCTTGGGTTTGGAATAGAGCGGGTTGGCGCCATGATGGTAGTGGCACTTCTGTAGGAAGGTGTGGTCTGTAGCCTGGGGGCAGTTAGGGATCAGTTGGTGGGCAGGGGGCCTGGACACCCTGTTCCTGGCCTGGTGGCAAACTCACTACCCCTGACTGCTCCCCATTGGGCACCAGCAAGGAACAACTCACAGCTTCCCATGGCTGCCCCCCTCCCTGGGTCAGAAGGCAAGCGCCTTAGCCAGGCACTGGGGGCCTAAGTGGTCCCTTGAAGACACCTGTGGCTGGGTGAGTTCCTAACTGCCTTCCCTCCGGGCCAGCTGTCTTTGCACTCTATTGATCTCACTGCCATCCACTCTTGTGTTTGCAATCAGGATCTGAGGCCCAATCCTAAGGTTACCTCCTCCAGGAAAACTTCTGTGGCTTTCCAGGCTGGTGCAGCCTCTCCTCTGGACACCCATAGCTTCCCATATGGCCTCAATCACCCCAGGTTGTGAATAGTCAGTTGGGTGCCCCAACCTCCCACTGCCCGCCTCAAGCCAGAGCAGAGAGGAATGAAGGAGTCAGGCTGGGATGATGACACGAGGCTGAGAGATGTGTGACCTGACTAGGCTCACACAGTACCTGCGGCTCACCTGAGGAAAGCAACACTGGTCGTCGAGGATGCGCAGGATGCCATAAGGCTTCAGCGAGATGAGGTTGATGCAGGGCTGGTTGTCAGCAAAGGTGATTTCCTGCCAGTCGATCTGCTCACGGATGTACTCCTCCTGCAGGCAGGGGGCAGCAGGAGCTCAGCCTCCCATCCCTGTCCAGGGTCCACCCACCCTCCTCCTTCAAAAAGCTTGAGCTCAACCACAGACCCTGAATCTGCCTGAAGGAGCCTGGCCAGCAGCACCTCTGCTTGCATACCTACCAGAATAGGGAGCTCACCCCCTAATGAGGCAGCATGAGCCAACTCAGAGTCCTGCTGCTCCCTCTGCCTGGGACAGCCCAGTAGAGGAGGACTCCCCCAAGGAGACTCCTCTTTGAACACAGCACCTTAGCACCTTTCCCTCCAGAACAGAGGCCTTCCCATGAGCTGGTTCCCAGCTTAGAATGCCTTTCCCTCCACTGGCTGTGATGTCAGAATTGCTCTTAAACAACAAGTATATCCTTGTTTGTTTCCAAGAAGGTCCGCTGTCCAGTCAAGATAGGGACAGGAGTGTTAATGGGGCCCACACACCTGCTCCTCCTGGAAGATGATCTTGTTGAAAAGGTACTGAAGGTTCTCGTTTGCGTAGTTAATACACAGCTGCTCAAAGCTGTTGAAGCTCAGGTCCTGCCAGGTGGATAGGGAGGCTGGGAACAGTCCTTACTGGGCCACCAGCCTATCTGCCCCTGCCTTCCCTAGTGGCAACTTGAAAAAGCTTGAGCTCAACCACAGACCCTTAGCTCAGAACCCTCCATGGCTCCTGCTACACCCAGGATAGAACCTGACAGGCTCTGTCCTGACAGCACAGGCAATGGCTGAAGGCCCAGGCTCCAGGGCCTTCTGCCTAGGTTCAAATTCTGGGTCTGCCACTTTCTAGCTATATGACCTTGAATTACAGTCCCATGCCTCAGTTTCCCCATCTATAAAATGAGGATACCGGCAGTACCTGCCTCATAGGGTTGCTCTAAAGATGAAGTGAATTAACAAAGTGCTTTCCACAGCACCTGGCCCATAACAGGTGCCACGTGAGTGTCCGTGATGGTTGCATTGTGATCTTGCCCTGTCCCTCGCCACTTCCCTTGCTGTGTACTCACACAGCAGTCACCCCCAACACAAGAAGTCCGGTCCCAGATCCCATGCCCCTCCACCCCTCCCAGCCTTTGCATATTCTGTTCCCTGCACTTATAGTGCCTTTGCTGGGTGTCAGGAGTATCTCATCCCCATCCAGGAAGCAAGCCTTCCCCATTCCTGCCCAGGTGAATGATGCCCACTGGAGCATATGGAGTTGTCAGAGTCTGCCCCCACCCCCACCCAGCCTCACCTGGAAGCTCCCCAAGGGCAGGACCCTGGCTGGTCCTTTCTGGGCAGCTGGTATTGCCCAGCACAGGGCCTGGCCCAGAGGCCTTGGGAGTGCTTGTGGTGAGTAAAGAAAATGGAAGGTGACAAGGGAGATAGTGACGGGGAGGGGTCCATGAAGGGAAGATGGCACTGTCTGCAGGCACAGAAAGGGATGGGAAGGGCAGCCTGACACACCTGAGGGAGGTGAGGCCTCGTCTATGTCCCCTGCCCCTCAGCCTCCCATACGGCCCCACCTCAAAACCATAGATGTCCAGGATGGCGATGGACAGTGTATCCTGCCGCGGGGACACCAGCGCGTTGACCCTGGCAATGAGCCAGCTGAACAGCAGCGCATACAAGACCTTGGCGATGGCGTCCCTAAAGCAGAGGTGGTGCTATTGTGGGCAGGATACTGTGGTGGGGTGCTGGGCCCTGGGGCTCAGGCAGGGTGGGGTGCAGCCTCACCTGGCATCCACAGCGCTCTCCACAGTTAGGGGTGTGAAGATCTTCTCTCGCATTGTCTCCTGGGGAGGGGTACAGCCCTTGAGTGACAGCAGGCTGGCCACTGCCTCCAGAAAGCCCCCAGGGGACTAGGGGAGTGGAGCATGAAGAAGGAAGGCTGGAGGGATGTGACTGGGCTCAGGCACACAGAGGCTAGGCAGGACCACCCCCACCCCTACCCGACTCTGCCTGGCAATGCTGGTCATGGTGGGGACTGCAGGTCTATGGGGGAGACAGAGGCATCAGCAGACACAATGAGATCAACCCTGGGCAGGGGGAATGATCCTAGGGCTGTGAAAGACCAGAGGAGGCACTGACCTGGCCAAAGATCAGAGAAGGCTTCTTAGAGGAGAAAATGGCTGTATAGGCTTTTAAAGGATGAGTAGGTGAGAAAAGAGGAAGAACATTCCAGGTAGAGGAAACAGCCTATGCAAGTCTGAGGTTGGAATCTGAAATGTCTTTGGGGTCTGAAATTACTCCCTTCCATGCCTGACCCCGGGACAGAGAGCAGGGGAGAGGGAGAGGCTGCCCACACGGGATGGGCACAAGGCAGCTCTGACCAGGCCCTGGTAGGAAGCTTTGTTCGAAGGCCAGATGCCCACAGACTCACGGTCACTTTGAAGGTGATGGCCTTCTGCAGGCCCTCAGGGGAGATCTGTAGCAGCTCAGCCACAGCCTGGATTTCCCGGGCACTCACCACTGAGGCCACCTCCTGTGCATCCGTCTATGCAAAATACCAACAAGAATGTGTTTTGAACTAGATAAGCTGAATTTAAAGTTCATATAAGAAACAGGGCTGGGCACTGTGGCTCACACCTGTAATCCCAGCACTTTGGGAGGCCGAGGTGGGCAGATCACCTGAGGTCAGGAGTTCGAGACCAGCCTGGCCAACATGGTAAAACCCTATCTGTACTAAAAATACAAAAATTAGTGGGGTAGTAGTGGCACGTGCCTGTAATCCCAGCTACTCGGGAGACTGAGGCAGGAGAATTGCTTGAGCCTGGGAGGCAGAGGTTGTAGTGAGTGGAGATCGTGCCACTGCACTCCAGTTTAGGTGACAGAGTGAGACCCCCCCACACCAAAAAAAAAAAAAAAAAAAAAAAACCCACCAAAAGCCATCGTAAACGAAGTTAAAACGAACAACAAAGTGGAAGATATATGTCCAATTTATATCAGAGACAAAGGGCTGATTTCCTTAATTTCTACAAGGAGGAGAAAGATGAACAAGCTCAAAGGAAAAAACCAACAGGACAAGTGATGTGTGCATAGCGTAATCTGAAAGGGAAACAGAGAAGGCCTCGGAAAAGATGGCCAAGTCCAGAGGGTGTGGGCCCAAGGCAGGCTGTGGCACCCCTCACCTCATACTTCTCAAAGTAGACGTTGCCCAGGTGCAGGATGGAGGCCAGGATGTGGAAGATGCTGTCCTGGTCCTCACTGCTGAAGCCCAGCACCTCCATGGCAGCCAGGAGCCAGCGAAAGTCATCTGCATCGCTCTTTCCTGCGATCTCACAGTTCCCACCCTGGGTGAGGACAGAGTCTGAGGGTCAGGGAGCTTGGGTGGGGCTGCAGAGCCCTCCGGGTCCCGCTCTGCCCTAACCAGTAGCGTGGCCTGAGCTGATCACTCAAGCTCTCATTCCACTCTCATGGGGACAGAGGCTCTGAGCAGGGCTGCGGTGGGATTCACGGATTCTAAGTGCAATGTGTGGCAGGGGTTGTCACTTGCTGACCTTTGCAGCTGCCCAGTGATAATAATGAAAAGAGTAGTCAATGTTTACTGAGCATGTCCTGTACGCCAGGCGCTGTGCTAAGCTCTTTACCTGATTTCCTCATCTAAGCCTCATGACATCCCTGCAAAGTGGTATTATGTTGGCCCCATTTCACGGGTGAGGAAACTGAGGCACAGCGAGGGGAAGTGTAGTCACTCTAGGCTGGTGGGTTCTGATCCAGGTTCCAGATAAATGAAGTCAGGTAGGCCTTTCCTGCTTCCACTTTGGACCTAGAAGATTCCTGGTCCCCCTTACTGTGACGAGATGCCTTAAATCCAAACTCACCCTCTCCAAATCTCTATCACCTTCACATTCCATCACTCACAACTGGGCTCCCTCGGCCCACCCAGGGGTGTCAGGGTGGGAGGACCAGGGCTGGGGGCCTTCAGATGCCTGCTGGCAATCACCTGGTTCAGATAGTAGTAGGTCTCGGCCTCCTGCAGGCTGAAGGCCTGCCGGAGCTGGGCAGGCAACCCGGCCAGCAACTCGTAGAAGATGTAGTAATTCCTTTCGTTTTTGGCCTGTAGAGTGGGTAGTGGGCACAGAGAAGGGAGCCACCTACCTAGGTGACCCCCAGGCACACACACAGGTCCAAGCCCATGAATGCACATCACACAAGGAACTGCAGATGAGAACACGTGCCTCTGTGATGAGTGAGGCTCCCAGCCTGGCGCCAGCTGGGGTAAAGGCAGAAGCAGAGGTGCCCTGGTATGATTGAAGGCTGAGAGGGTTCTGGTTTTGGGGATTTTATTTGGTTAGGAGAAAGAAGAGAAAAGGGGGCTGTCTTCTCTTATGTGTACTGGCCATGCACACCTACATACATGTGTGTCCATAGCCCACATGTGCACACACAGAGCTTCTTGATGGCTGAGCACTTCCTGTGCACCAGGCCCTGTCCAGGCCCTTGGGACATGGGGGACAAGGCAGAGAGAAGCCCCTGATCTCATGGAGTCCACCTGCTAGCTAGGGAGACAGATACTCAGCAAATCACTGGTTAAAACATAAAATATATTTGATGGGGGAAACTACATTGGAGAAAAATAAGGCAGTGGACACGGTGGGGGTTTAGATGGGATGGAGAGGGGCTGCGCTTTTAAATGGGAACTTCCTGAATGAGTGAAATTGTAGGGGAGGCTTGGAGGAGGTGAGGGGTTTGGACAAACAGGCGCCTGACGGATAAGTGCTCCTGAGAGAAGGAACAGAAGGTGCAAAGGCCCTGGCAGGAGCATGCCTGTGTGCTGTAGGGCAGGGAACAGCCACAGTGGCCAGAGGAGGGTTGGAGAGGCAAGGTCGCGGGCTCACATGTGCACGTGTATTCAGTCATTCACTTGACATCTACCCAGCCCCATCAGGGGCCAGGCTCTGAGTATCCGTACCTCCCACCCCAACCCTGCCCAACACACAGGCCTGGGAGGGGCTGGCCCACCTGAAACACGATCCTGGATTTCTCAAGCAGATACTGGGAGGTTATGGCACCAGAGATCACGCTCCTGGGGTGGTGAGCACAGTCAGCTCTCAGCAGGGGAAGGAGGGCTGGTGTTGGTTTCCAGGGGCTGTGGTCGGACGTAGAAGGCACTGCAAGGCCTTTGGGAGGCCCTCCACTGTCCCCACTCACCCTTCCAGAAAGATCTCCACGAACTTCCCAAAGCGGCTGGAGTTGTCGTTCCTGACGGTTTTGGCATTACCGAAGGACTCCAAGAGGGGTGTTGCCTCCAGGATCTGGACTCCAGAAGGAGAAGTGGAGATTTGAGGGGCTAAGCACTGTTCTGGGGGCCTGGATGGGGGGCATAGCTAGGGACACCCAGACATGAGCCTCCCCAAGAACCTCCCTTTATGAGGGGTGACCAGAGGTGGGCTCTCTAGAGAATCCTGAGGTCTCTTCAGTGTCCCCAAGGGGCCCCCACCCCATGCTGCCCAACTCCCACACAGCAAGCCCGGTGCTTCCCCTCTCCCAGACTTTCAGCCTCCATGGCCCCCACAGCAGCCCCTGACCACAAGCCCCAGCCCCGCCCAGGACAGGCCTTTGGATGTCCCTTCCCGCCTGTCCCTCCACCCACACAGGAGCAGGCACATCCACATGCATTTTCCCGGACACACACACACTCACACACACTCTCTCTGAGTACCTGCATCTTCAAGAGCACCCAGGAGGGAGGAGAAAGAGAGAGACAAGGACAGAATGCATCACTAGCAGGACCGACCACCTCTCTCCAGGAGACCAGATGCCTCAGCCAGGGAGGGGCTGGCAAAAACCTGTGAGGCGCAGAGACCCCAGGAGTCCAGGCTTGGGGACTGCCATGGGGTCTCCAAGGTATGAAAATACACTGGTTCTGGCTTCCAAAAGGCTCTGGGGATGTCCTCTTCTTCCCCTCCCATGACCACCACCAGCAGGATCCCTGAACCTCCTCCCTGACCTTCCTCACTGTTCCCTGACACCCAGACCCACTCCTGCCTCTGGGCATTTACATCTCCTGTTCCCTCTGCTTGGAAGCCACAGCTCCCATGCACCTGCATGGCCCCCCGCCTCACCTCTCACAGGAAGACCACAGAATTCTCTCCTTGGCAGCCCTCAGCCCCGTTGGCAAACTATTTTCTTGGGTATTGTCTGTCTCTCCACTAGAACGTCAAATCCAACAGGCACAGATCTACTGTTTGCACATCTGAGTCCCCAGCAAGTACACAGACCCGGTGCTTACTAGGCCCTCAGAAAATATCTGCTAAAGGGATGGAAAAAGGAATAGCATCCCATGGGCAGAGCTGCCCAGGGGTGACCATGGCTGATCGCAAGCTCCCTCCTGTTTAAGCACCTAGCTGTATGTGAGACACATTGTCCTGATGATGCCATTGTTAACAATCCCATGAGGTAGGTATTAACATCACCCCTGTTTTGCAGATTAGGAAACTGAAGCTTAGAGAGGTGGAATGACACGCCCAGGGACTCCAGCATCTGCTCAGTGATGAGCATGGGCCTAGTGTGTACATGGCTCTTTCTTCAGCTGAGGCACTGCCTCAGGATAATCTTTTAGGGAGGAAGCAAAGGAGGTCCAGTCACCACAGAAACAATACCTGTAATTTTGGGGATGGCGCCAGTTCCCTCTATCTGTTCGCAGGCACCATCCCATTTAGTCCAGGAAATACTGCACCCATTGTATAAAGGGGCACACTGAGGTCCAGAGAGGGATGGGGGCTGGCTTTGAGTGCTCAGTGGGTCAAGGTCCGCCTGGGCTTTCCTGTGTAATGTCCCTTAGTCTGGGAAGTCCTGGCGGACAGGTTGGCTGCCTCTCTGTTCCTGATGCCCAGCATACAGCAGGGCATAACGCCAGCAGATAGAGCGGGTGAACATCAGAGGGGTGGAACCTGTGGCCCAGGCCTCAGCCAGTCAGGGCAGAGCATTCCCCATGTTCTGGGATTGGTTCCAGTGAGGACGTATGACCAAAACTTGCCCAGTGAGACGGAGCTCTGATCCTTTTTCTGAAATGTTGGGAAGGTTGATCATCTTGCTGACCAATGGGAGACGGCTGGTGAATGATGCCCATACATGGGGGAGGGTGGAACCAAGACAAGAGACATTGTTTAAGATTCTGGATCCAGCCATGCCGAAAACTGACCCTAGAACTGGACTGTTTGATTTCCTAGACAAGGGAGAGCCATGTCTGGGAAAGGCCCATGGTCATCACAGCCGGCAGGCATATCCTCACACCTTCTGTGTGCCTGGCACACAGAATGCCCAGACCAGCCATATCCACAGCTCCATGCATCCTCCCTGACACTCTATGCCATGGACTGCAAATCGCAGCTCCTGCACCACCTCACTCCTCCCTTCTTAGGCCTCAGTGCTCCATCTATAAACGGATGCACATGTACCTACCTCCCAGAGTCGCTCTAAAGCTCTGGTGTGACGATAACTGAAGGAACCCAGCACTGTGCCTGGCCACAGGAGGTGCACACGGCACACTCATTTCTTTCCCTGCCTACCTAACCAGTCATTTCAAAAGTCTGACCTGAAAGGTAACTCTGCTTGGAGCAAGGGATGATCTGACTGGTCATCAGGAGGCCTGGGCTGGGATGGGAGAGGCTGGTGGGCCAAGGCAGGCATCAGAGGCGGCCAGGCCAGGCTGGAACCTGACTGCAAAGCCTGCGAAGCCCCCACCAATGCCCCCAGAATCACCTTGCTGGGCTTGCCACTGGCTGGGATATCGTGGCCATGTGCAAACCTCTGTGGATCCCAGGGTCAGGGAAGTCTGAGTCTGGTTCTGGAGTCTGAGCTGGCAGGCCAGCCCCACCTTCTCCTGAGCTCCAGGCTGGTGGTACATCCATCACCTCCCTGCCGTCTCTGTGCAGATGCCTAGCAGGCACCTCTTCTCAACAAACCTGCTCCTCCTCTCCACTGCCCAGCCTTCCTCTGTGCTGCCTGTGGCTCAGGCCNTCTCTGTGCAGATGCCTAGCAGGCACCTCTTCTCAACAAACCTGCTCCTCCTCTCCACTGCCCAGCCTTCCTCTGTGCTGCCTGTGGCTCAGGCCGAATGTCTGGGGTTGCCTCCAACAGCTCTCTCTCACACCCCAGTCTGTCTTTTGTAGGTTGCTGGCTGGCTTTGACCTGCTTGCACCCGCACCTGGACCCAACCTGCTTGCACCCCAGGGCCTTTGCAGGTGCTCCTCCCTCTGCCTCTTCATTGTTCCCCTGGACATTCCCAGAGCCCACTCCCTTGCCTTTTCAGTACAGCCTACCCTGACCACTACATTTATGACTATGACTCCCAGCACTCCCCACCCTCTCTCCACTTTTTTCCTTCACAGCTCACCACCTACCCTTTCACGTACACATAATTTACTTACATAAGTGTGTATGTATTTGTCGTCCTGCTTCCATCACTAGAATGAAGTTCCCACGAGGCAGTGTGAACATTTGCCTGAGTTACTGCTGCCCCTCCAGGATGCCTAGCCTGGGCTTGGCACACAGTAGGTCCTCAGTAAATCTTTACTGAGGGAATGGATGGGATTCTACCAGTCTCAGGCTCAGAGGGCTTAGCACCATCCTTTTCAGCAAAGCTCCAATCCTGCAGACTCTGGCCTGGCATCTACTGCCTCCCCTACCCCACCCCACCCCTAACCCACCTGCCTCTTCATTCCTGGGGGCTGCATAGCTTCTGAGTGTGAGAATATGGTGGCCCAAGAGCCATGACCAGGAAGGTGAGGCCAGGTAAGAGAGATGGGATGACTCCCCTTCCCTATGTGATCTCCCCTCTGAAGTGGCCCCAGAGGGCTGGAACCAGGAGCTGCCACGGAAACACACGCAGGCAGAAACTCTCACCCCTCAGGCACACTCCTGGGATGGGTGGCAGAAAGAGCAGTCCTGGGCAAGGCCCCCTTCTGGAACTCAGCCCTCCCATCTTCCTAATGGTCCAAGGAGCCTTGCCTCTTGGGGAGCACATGAGGTGTGCTTATCAAAGGGTGCTCAGCCTAGGGTCCTGGGGAGACAGGTGGACTAGGGTCCTGGGGAGACAGGTGGACTATGGTCCTGGGGAGACAGGTGGACTCACCTGCTGCATGACATCCCGTTTCTGGTTCATGGCGGCCAGGTAGCGCAGAATCAGCTTGGTGGCCTCAGTTTTGCCAGAGCCGCTCTCTCCACTGACCAAGCAAAGGGGGAGAGTGAGCGCTAACCTTTCACTACTTCTTCTGGGACACCCCAACCCCCACCGTGAAGTGAGAGGATGTGTGTGGTGGGCAAACCCAGAGGTGCCAGGCAATCTTCCGAGGTCGCACAGCAGTTCTGGCCAGCTTCAGGCCTGTTACCTGAAGTCTCCCATTTATCCACCACATAAAGACAGCCCGCTCACCTGATGATTATGCACTGGTTCTGTTTGGCATCAAGCATTTTGGCGAAGGCGAGATTTGCAATCGCAAAGAGGTGCCTGGGAGACAGGTTATTAAAGCCAGCCCCTGCCTCTAAGCTCCCAAACCTCCCAGGGGTTGGGCGGGGAGCATCCGTATCCAGCCAAATAGCCAATCCTGCCCACCCCTCACCCTGTTGGGGGAATGCTCCCACCCCCATCCTGGTCTGAACCACAGTGGCCTCCAACCTGTGGCTGTGGCCCTGCCTGGGGAGAAACTGTCAGGTTGAGTAGGTGGGTTGCCTTTCCCCATTACCTCTGACTCATGGCTGGGATGCAGCCAAGATCCAGGCTCCCAGAGCAGAGGAAAGAGGGGCCCAAGAGACCCCAGGGCAGGTCCCCCTGAGACACTCACGGGGGATTCTCTCCCAGGGCCCGTCCATTGTACTGCTGCACCTGCTCCAGCCCTGGATTCCGAACATTTGGTATGGGTTCACTGACACCAGGATGCTCCCGATGTATGTCTGCTGGGCAGATGGTAGCCTCAGCGCCATGGCTCCTCGCAGCCCTCTGTGTTCCTCCTTCCCCTACGCTGGGAGCCTGGCTCCCCGTTTCCATCCGGACAGATATCGGGCTACCTGGACTTGGGATTGCCATCTAGAGCCTTCTACCAGCTTGCTGGGCTATGTGCTCTAACAGTGGAATCTCAGGCACTGCACCAGGCTGAGCTGGGAGGAGTCTGGGGTGAGCCCTCAGTGGGCTCCTGCCTACTTCATTTGTTCATAGTTGGGTCCAGGCTCCAGGAACTTTTGCTTCCTGTTGAGGGCAAAACTGCACTACCTGGAGTGGGGAGTTGGGGGGCTCAGGGGATCTTTCTGTGGCCAGAGCCCTTCCAAGTGTCCCTGTCTTCCACACTGTGGCTGTGGGCCTCTGTTCTGTCATTCTCAGGTCAGAGGCTCCCTTTCACCTCTCTGGCTGTACCCACTTTGGGGTCCAGGTCTATGGATTCTAGGACTCTGGAAGTTCTATCTGTCAGGTCCCAGGTGGTGGAGGTGTCACATATTTCTGGATTCCCTGTCTCTAGCTTTCTGCCTCTGGCATCCACCATTCTAAGACTGTGTTTTAAAACTTCAGATTTTAGTTCCAGACTCTGACATGCTATGCTGAATTGACAAAACTCAAGAGTTCAAACCAGAGGTCCCAGGGGCTAGGGCCCAAAGAGAAATCTACATCCCACCCGGCCCAGGAGGCAGCTGCCTTCCTGACCCAGACCCAGGGCAGGGCCAGCCCCAGGCCTTACGTAGATGAGGTTCTGTTCAAATCTAATCTTGAGGTTGGACAGCACAGTGGTTTCCTGGAGATCTCTGGAAGGGCACAGAGAGAAACTGTCAGTGCCCCCCGGGCTGGCTCTGGCATTGGTCTCCCACTCCCACTCAGTGCAGTGCCGTGATCAGACAGGCCTGAGTTCAAGTCCTGTTTCTGACACCAACCAGCCAGGAGACCTTGGGCAAATTACTTCACCTCTCTGTGTCTGTTTCTTCATCTGTCCAACGGGTGTGATAATCATTTCTTCATCTGTCCAATGGGTATCATAATCAAGGCGTATGATACTCCACTGGGGGGTTGGGGGACACACATAGTCACCGTGATTGGATAATGATGCTGACCTACGCACCCTCATGTTTTGAGCACCTCCATGTGCCAGCATCCTCACAGCAGCCACCCCACTCCCACCTTGTGGATGAGAAACTGAGGTGCAGAGAAGCAAAGCGATTTCTCCAAGGTCCACCAGCTGGTGAGTGGTGGGGCTGGGATTTGAACCAAAGTCCATCTAACTCACAAAGCACACCACGTTTAGTCTTTGTGACAATTCATGACTGAGGCTCTGAAAATGTCCTGGGAGGTGAGAGGCAGGTGTAGGAGGAGCTGCTCTGGCTGGGAGGGTGGGGACCCCATGGTGACCTCTTGCTGACCCTGCCGGCCCTGCCCACTCACTCCAGCTGCGTCATGTCCTCCACACCATCCTCCCTGTGCTGCTCGCGGAACCGCATGGATGGCAGGTTGCGGATGGAGTGCATCTGTGTGAGAGAGAGGCTGTGTCTGTAGGCTGCAGGGCAGCCCCCACCCCAATTGGTCCCTGGCTCAGTCATACCTGGGACCCGCTACCATTGTTTGGGAGGGAACCCCAAGGTCAGGTGAGTCCTGCAGGTGTGTCCTTGCTACAGAATGCTGTGGCCCCTGGAACCTGCATGCGACCCTCATACATGAGACACATGCATGCCCTCAGTGCCCAAGCAGGAGCTCCCATGAGCTCCCAAGCTTCCTGCCCTGGAGGGTGAGCAAAGGTATGTGCAGGTACATGGGTACACCTGCCAGCTCCCTCCCAACCGCAGTTCTCCCAGCACCAGCAGACCCCACGTGTTGGCTTGTGTGACAATCCGATGGATGCTTGTCTCCTGGTGCATGGGACTCCAGCAGGGCAGAGATGGAGACTGTCTCAGCACCACACCCCCATGCTCAACCCGGGGAAAATGTGTGGACACCTGCATATGGACCCACACTCAATGGCATTTCTATCTCATACAACTCCCAGACACACAGGTGTTCATGTAGGCCTGTGGGCATGCATGCAGGCCTGTGGGGCCCGTCCGGGGGCACACGGCGTGCAGGCACATGCTCTACCTGTCCACTTGGCACATACATCTGGGCAGACAGCTGGGTCCCCCCACTACCCTGGAGGTCTGGAGAATGGAAGTCCTGATACCACCTTTGGGCTGCAAGGTCTCCTCTGTGAGCACATGTCTGTCCACATTGGCAGAGGGTGGGCAAACAACCCTGACCCCCCAGGACGCCACATCTGCTCAGATCTCATACACTTGCTTTCGTCATTTGGCTGTGGTACACACTCACACACACACTCGGGCATGCAGGCGTGCGCAGGATCCACATGACTGCAAGCACACACGTGTGCACCCTCAGACTTTCCAATCCCAGCTGCCCCCTGAGCAGGCGAGGAAAGAGGACACCAGGAGGGAGCCCTGCATGCCTATCGCTGGGCTGCTAAGTAGGGCACAGCGAGTATCAATCACCCTTTTGGCCCTGGCCTCTGGCCCACCCGTCTGCCCACGTGCTCGCCAGCAGCCGCAGACCCTGAATAATTCAGCCACTCACCTATTCCAGGGTGAGGAGGGCCCAGGCATCCTTGCCCCTCACCCCTAGGCGCCCAGCGCCCCGCTCCCGCAATGCTGCAGCCCACATGGCGCGGGGTACCCGCCGCCGGGGCCAGGGCCCCCCTAGCAGCCAGGCTGCCCCAGTTGCCATTGTTGAGCCCTGCTGGCTGCCCCTTCCACCAGGCACCGTCTGCAGAGGCTGAGAAGCACCCGCTGCCCCTGCTTGCCCCGCCCACCCTCCTGCATCCCAGGAGAGGCTCCGGTGACCATGCACCTCCGCTAAGGGCCACCCAGCATCAGGCTCGAGTTCTGCCTTGAGTGTGGCAGCCAGGCGTGGGCACCCCTCAGAAGGGGCTGCCTGCCCTGCACCTGACTTGGGGTTCCAGAAGGACTCCTGGCTCAGTTTTCTCTCTGGCAATGAGGAGACTGGAAGGCTGGACCCTGAGTCCCTCACCCTGACCTGTTCCAGAATCTTGCAGCCCAGGGGACTTCAAAGGGCAGCAAAAACCCTGAGGAAAGAGGAGGCTCTAATTTGGGGGAGGGACAGTNCCTGACCTGTTCCAGAATCTTGCAGCCCAGGGGACTTCAAAGGGCAGCAAAAACCCTGAGGAAAGAGGAGGCTCTAATTTGGGGGAGGGACAGTAGGTGGCAGGAGGAACAGCACAGACCTGGGTGTGCAGTGGGACAGAATGGATAGGCACATCCTGCAGTTTCACATCTGGCTTGGCCAAAATCTCTGAGGGGAAGTTAGGGGCCAGACTTGTCATCCAGATTGGATCAGGGCAGGGCTGCCCAGGGCCTACAGATGAACAAAGATCCTTCCCCAGAGTGACTCGGAAGCAGTTTTCCACGTGTCTGTCCTGTGCCTGCCTGTGCTGGGCATCCCCTTGTTCAATCCTCCAGAGGTTTGGGAGGCCCAGGCTGTTCTCCCCAACTTCTAGACCCAGAGACTGAGGCCTCTGCAGGCAGCAGCTCTCCAAGGTTGCTGCACAGGGCTCCTCAGGCTGTTCCTCTTTCCCTGTTTCCTAGGCCAGAACCCACAAACCCTCCCTGTAATCTGTGCCCCCATACCTTGTTCTGCCAGCTTGGGGGGCCGACCTCCTCCCAGGACCTGCTAAGGGACAGGCAGGTGGCTCCAGGGCCCAGGTGGCAGGACTGGGGATGGGTGGGTACTCGTGGCCAGGGTCCTTGGGCCTCTGCCCGCAGCCAGAAGCAGGACCAGCGAAGACTCCAGGCTCTCGGCTTGGGGTCCTGGGTTGGCTGGACTTGAGGCTTCAGGGTTGCAGGCCTAACTCGCTGGAAAGAGCTCAGCTTCTGCACGCGAGGCATGACCACAGCAAAACGCCCAGGGCCTGCCTGGCGCTGCTCGCCCCCCTTGGGTAGGGGCTCTGGGGCCCTGGTGGGCACCAAGGGACCTGGGGCTTGGGGCAGTGTCCCCCAGCAGTGCCATGATGGCCGTGTGGCCCTGGTCTGGTCACACTCAGCCAGTGGGTATGAGAGGCTGGGCCTTAGTGTCCTTTGCTTTGGGAGGACTTCCTTGGGAGGTCTGACATCCTTGGGAGGTGTTGGGGTTGGAGGCTTGGTCTCTGCTGGCAGCTGGGGGTCCCCCAGGGTGGTCTCTTCAGGCTTCTCAGGGCTTGGGCCAGCCGATTTGGTGAGCTGTCCAGGCCCTGGGTCATAATGTCTGCCCAGGAAGAGCCTGGTCATATCAGCAGCTGAGTCCTTGGGCTGGAGAGTGGGGGGTGGCACAGGGCCCAGGTGCTGGAGAAAGGGGTTTTCCAGCACAGCGGGTGGTCTGGAACAGCCTCTGCGGCTGCCTGCACCTCCCGGCCGGGGGGATGGTGGGCGTTGGGTGGTAGGCATGTCCACGTCCCAGCTGGGGGCC